GTTATAATCCATGTAGTCCATTAAGGTCTCATGCAACTTTTTAAAGAATTCAGATTTCCCCTCATTCGGTGCATAAACTCCTACTATCAAGAATTTCTCTCCTTAAATTTGAATTTCAATTGCCACAAATCTTCCTTGGTCATCTTTAAAAATAAATTTTGGTGATAATCTCTCCTTTGCGTAGATCACTACTCCTCTTTTTTAACTTTGTCAGATGAAATAAACTCCTGTCTCAGTCTTTTGTTAATCAATACTTTTCTATGTAGCCTTATCACATGTGTTTCCTGTAGGCAAATCAAGTCCAATTGTTCCTTTTTCAGTAAGTGAAAGACATTTTCCCTTTTCCGGGGAGAGTTTAGACCGTTACAATTCCAACTTAGTAGTTGCAGAGCCATAATGTAGTTACTTTATTTTCCTCCAACTGCGCCAAGTGCTTGTTCTTGTTCTGTCAGTGGTGTCACTTTCTCTGAACCATGCAAACCAAAAGATAAGTTTGCTATGTCTAAGATTCCTCTTTCCAGTGCTGTTGGCTCTTCTCCAGATTCCGCTTCTTTCTGTAAGTCTTCTCCGTGATCTTTCAAAAATCTATCTTTGTCGTCAGGTGATCTTATTTTTATCTTTCTCCCTTTGTATTTAAAAGACAGGCCTTGAGGGAATTCCCACCTAAAAATGATTCTGTTACTTCTCAGCAAAGCGACCAGGTCTCCGTAGTTAAACCTGAGATCCAAAAGATGTTTCGGAATGTCCTTAAATATCTCCACACTTGACTGATGAATTTCCAAGGTCTTTCGGAAATGCAGATTCAAGATTCTGTCTCTCTCCTCTTTTGTTCGAAGGGTAATGAGGCAGTCTCTCACCTTGTTCTTTCCTCCTCTTCCAAGCCTGAATGCACTCACTATCTTAAATTCTTCCTTCCCCAAGTCTAGTTGCCAGAAGTCTGCAAATTCCTTCGTAAGAAAGTCAGTCAAGTTATCTTTCTCAAGTTCAGGTACAGCCCTGATCCTCAAATTCGTTTGTTTCTCCTTCAATTCAATCATAGAAAACATCAACCTGTAGTCGTCAAGTTGCCTGTGTATCGGTGGTATCTTCTCTTCAGTGGCAGTTGCTATTTCCTTTGCTTCTTCAGCTGTCTTTCGAGTCTGAGTAGATTCCTGAAGCAATTTCTCAATAGTCTCTGTATTGGTATTCACCTTCTGTCCCAAGTTATTTATGCTTGTAGTGTTTTGGTCAATTTTAACTGATGCTTCAGCTACTTGTTTGTTTGTTTGTTTGTTTCAGCTACCTGTTTGTTTGTTTCAGCTACTTGTTTGGTTAAATTTTCCAAAGATTCATTAATTCTCCCTAGTGCCAGAGCTAAAACATCCTCAGACGACATTCCTTTTGACTTCGCTTGTACAGGTGCGGCCCCTGATGGTCCAGGTGTTCCAGAAGAGCCAGATGCTGATGCTCTTCTCTGTAGCCCAATATCTGTACGAAAGGATTTACCAGATCTCATTGTTTTCTCTTGGAGCAACTCTGACTTTTCTTTTCCATCTGCCATAACACTAGATTAAGTCCAAGGTCAGTCCCACAGCTAGGATTTGTTATGAAGTGGAAAATTCCCCTGGCCCAGTTGTTTTTGTAACAATATCCAACTTCCTCTAGGGGGACACAGTAACAGTCAATCTTGTAACTTTAAAAAAAAAAAAACTTTTTAAGTCCCCCAATTCACCAAAAAATGACAGTTTCAATTCCAGTTACTTTAAAGTTACTTTAAAACCAGGAGAAGTCAGCCAGAAACACTGTATCTCTTTTGCAAAGTTAGCTGTCAAAAGCACTCTATTTACCAATAGTGCCTTTCACAGTACGGCATTCTCATTGTCTAAAGGCAGTCCATTCCCAGGGTCTAAGCGGTGGATTTTAGCTTCCTTTCCTCTCTTTTTTGCAAGGAAATACAGTTCAAACCTTTTCCCCTCCTCTCTTGCAATCCGGAGGGGAAATCTCCTGTTTGACGTTAGGATTTGAGTCCTTTTAAAGACGTCTTTCACAGTTTTAGCTTACAGTCTCTTTGCTTTGATCTATATACAAGAAACGGAAGGCGGACTTCCTGTTTATACCTCCCCGTTTCGGTGCCGAATTAGCTCTTTTCCTTCGTTTAAATCCAATTTTTTCCTACTCAGGGGTAGTTGCTTTTTGTAGCCAAATTGTCCCAGGAAAAAGTCAGCGCTCTCCAATAACGGCTGTGCAGCTTCGCTCCGCGGAAGAAGCAGTCCACTCACAGCACTGCGCCACTCACCCCGCTTCGCTCCGGAGCCCCCCAAAAAAGGGTTCCTTCGCAGATTGGGGGGGCGCTGAAGGTGCCCGCTGAGTCCCACGTTCACAGGCTTCCCCCGCCTGTGATTTTTAGAGGGGTCCCCGCTTTGCCGCAGCGGTCAGACCCGATCCCGTGGAGCTGGTCCCTCAGAGACAGAGGGAATCCGCCATTACCGATGGCGCTAACCCGGAAGTCAGGCATGCAACAGGCATTTGTATGCAAATCAGCAAACTTCATGGGGAAGTTCAGTTGAATTCAGTGGAGTCTACCCCCAAATAAGTCTTGCTTTTTATTTTATTTTTTTAAATATTTATTGGTTTTTTCAAAAGTTAGTGTAACATAAAAATAACAAAATTACAAAAAATCACAAAAAAAGAAAAAAGAAAAAAGACCAAAAAAATGCATACATCAAAAAAAAAAAAAAAAAAGACAAGACCACAGGTATAATTTCCTTCCCTTATGTTCATGAAACTTACTTTCCCGACCTCCTCGTACCTCCCCTTACTGCATTCTACTCTCTGATCAGTTCTCTTCAGCAAATCCTTCCCCTAGTTTCTATTAAAATCTTTGACCTTTCTTTTCATATTTACATAATCGTTACAGCAAACAACCACTTAATTTCAGAATCAACGTTGTCCTAACATTCAACAATTTTACAATATTTCTTAAGATAGTCTTTAAATTTCTTCCAATCTTCTTCCGCCGACTCTTTTCCCTGGTCTCGGATTCTGCCGGTCATTTCTGCCAGTCCCATATAGTCTATAACGTTCATCTGCCATTCTTCCACGGTGGGTAATTCTTCTGTCTTCCAATACTTTGCGATGAGTATTCTTGCTGCTCTTGTAGCATACATAAAAAATGTTCTATCCTTCTTTGTCACCAATTGGCCGACCATACCCAGGAGAAAGGCCTCTGGTTTCTTCAGAAATGTATATTTAAATAACTTTTTCATTTCATTATAAATCCTCTCCCAGAAAGCCTTAATCCTTGGGCACGTCCACCAAAGGTGAAAGAATGTACCTTCAGTCTCTTTACATTTCCAACACTTATTATCAGACAAGTGGTAAATTTTTGCAAGCTTGACTGGGGTCATGTACCACCTATAAATCATTTTCATAATATTTTCTTTTAAGGCATTACATGCCGCAAATTTTATACCGGTGGTCCATAACCGTTCCCAGTCTTCAAACATAATGCTATGACCAATATCTTGTGCCCACTTGATCATAGCTGATTTAACTGTTTCATCCTGTGTATTCCATTCCAACAGCAAGTTATACATTTTTGACAAATTTTTAGTTTTGGGCTCCAACAATTCTGTCTCCAATTTCGATTTTTCCACCTGGAAACCATTTTTCTTATCTAACTTAAACACCTCCATTATTTGATGATAGTGAAGCCAGTCTCGCACTTTATCTTTCAATTTCTCATAACTCTGTAATTTGAATTTGTCACCCTCTTGTTCCACGATTTCCCAGTATTTCGGCCATTTAGACTCCATATTAAGTTTTTTCACGGCTTTTGCCTCCATTTCTTTTCAAGCAAATCCTTATATCTTATCCAGACATTAAACAGTGCTTTCCTGACAATATGGTTTTTAAAAGCTTTGTGAGCTTTGACCTTGTCGTACCACAAATATGCATGCCACCCAAACGTATTATTAAACCCTTCTAAATCCAAAATGTCTGTGTTCTCAAGAAGTAGCCAATCTTTTAACCAGCAGAAAGCTGCTGATTCATAGTAAAGTTTAAAATCTGGCAGTGCAAATCCCCCCCTTTCTTTTGCATCAGTCAATATCTTAAATTTTATTCTGGGCTTTTTGCCCTGCCAGATAAATCTAGAAATATCTCTCTGCCACTTCTTGAAACAATCCATCTTGTCCACAATTTGCAGTGTCTTGCTTTTTAAGAATAATCCTCCTTTCCCCATTAACCCTTGGGCCAAACTTCCTAGTCCCAAACCACTACTAAAACATAATATATTCCCTCACTATACAAAAGGTGTGGGGTTCCTTTGGCCCTCTGGATTGTAGCGCCTAACAGCACATATTTGCAGACAAACCCCTCTGCATGTGCTCGGAATCACCCTTTGCAAGCCTGCACCCCCCACCCCAGCCCCACATGCAGCCCCAGAACCACATACAGCTCTAGTCCCACATGCTGCCCCAGCCCCACATGTAGCCCTAGCCCCACATGCAGCCCCAGACCCACATACAGCTCTAGTCCCACATGCAGCCCCAGACCCACATACAGCCCCAGAACGACATGCAACCCCAGAACCACATACAGCCCCAGAACCACATGCAGCCCCAGAACCACATACAGTCCCAGCCCCACACCCACCCCAGCCCCACATGCTGCTCCAGCCGCACATACAGCTCTAGTCCCACATGCTACCCCAGCCCCACATACAGTCCCAGCCCCACATGCAGCCCCAGAACCACATACGGTCCCAGCCCCACACCCACCTCAGCCCCACATGCTGCCCTAGCCCCACATACAGTCCCAGCCCCACATGCAGCCCCAGACCCACATGCTGCCCCAGACCCACATACAGCCCCAGCCCCACAGTCTGCCCCAGCCCCACATGCAGCCCCAGACCCACATACAGCTATGGTCCCCTCACACAGCCCCGCCCCCTCACGCCGACCCAAAGACACCCGCACACCCCGCATCTCCCCCCACGCAGAGAGGCGCCGCATTCTCACCCTCCCGTCGGAAGCTGGAAGGCCTCGTCTTCTTCATCCATGTCCTCATCCTCACAAGCAACGCTGTGAGGCAGAGAGACAGAAAGAAGGAAAAAGAGAGATAAGGAACCTTGCTGGCTCAAAGACGCCTAGCTCTGCTGAACTTCGCCTCTCTCTCAGCGGCCTAACAGCACGTATTTGCAGACAAAGCTCTCTGCATATGCTAGGAATCACCCTTCGCAAGCCTGCACCACACCCACCCCCAGCCCCACATACGCTCTAGTACCACATGCTGCCCCAGCCCCACATGCAGCCCCAGAACACGTACTGCCCCAGCCCCACATACAGCCCCAGAACCACATACAGCCCCAGAAGCACATGCAGTCCCAGCACCCACACCCACCCCAGCCCCACATACAGCTCTAGTCCCCACATTTGCTGCCCCCAGCCCCACATGCAGCTCATAGACCCAACATGCTGCCCCAGCGCCCCACATACAGCTCTAGTCCCAAACTGGCTTCCCCAACCCACATATCAGCTTCTAGTCCCACATGCTGCCCCAGCCCCACATACAGCTCTCAGTCCCACATTGCCTGCCCAGCCCCCACATACAACTCTAGTCCCACATTGCTGCCCCAGCCCCACATGCAGCTCTAGCCCACATGCTGCCCCAGCCCCACATACAGCTCTAGTCCCACATGCTGCCCCAGCCCCACATACAGCTCTAGTCCCACATGCTGCCCCAGCCCCACATACAGTCCCAGCCCCACATGCAGCCCCAGACGCACATGCTGCCCCAGCCCCACATACAGCCCCAGAACGACATGCAGCCCCAGAACCACATACAGTCCCAGCCTCACACCCACCCCAGTCCACATGCTGCCCCAGACCCACATGCTGCCCCAGCCCCACATACAGCTATGGTCCCCTCACACAGCCCCGCCCCCTCACGCCGACCCAAAGACACCCGCACACCCCGCATCTCCCCCCACGCAGAGAGGCGCCGCATTCTCACCCTCCCGTCGGAAGCTGGAAGGCCTCGTCTTCTTCATCCATGTCCCCCGACATCCTGACGGCCCCTCGCTCCCCGCGCCCCCTCGGCTAAGCCCAAGCCGGGAGGCGAGAGCCGCAAGGCGCGCGGCTGCAACTTCTCTGCCATGGCGCAAGCGCGGGGCTGCGGAAGCGAAACTAGCAAGCCAAAGCGGCCGGCGGCATTCGCGGTCCCCAAACGGGCCAAACTTCCACGCGGAGGGAAGAAACGCGTCCACGGGGAAGCGAGCGATCAGCTGTTGCTGCCGCTGCCGCGAGTTTGGCGGCGGGACTCTTAAGTTTGACGGAAAGGGAGGGGGACACGGCTGGACCAATGGGAAGCTGGTTTCTGGGAGAGGGAGGCGGGAGGGCGGGTGACGCTCGCTCGAGGCTGGCCAATGAGGTGGCGCCTCCGCTCGCCGGGCGAAGAAGGGACGCGTCTGAGGAGATCGAGGGAAGGAGGAGAAGGCGAGGAAGGCGCAGGTAGCTACCTTCCGATTCTTCTCATTGTGCTATTTACACTTGGTCTGGCAAAACACATTTCTTTCTTCTTATTTAGCGTTCTCGTTTAATATCCATAAACTTTTACTATGTACATTCTCCATATTCCAAGATTCATTCTAGGTCTGCCAGGAGATTAACGTCGCCACTAATTTTTAAGATCTTCCTTAAATGTTATCCGATCTTGATTAACTTTTGGTATTGAATTTCCTCTTATTCTCCCTGTTGTTCTGGCAAGTTGTAGATCTTCTATCATTTTTGCTTGCCAGTCCGTTTTTGTGGGGATGATATCACTGTTATAGCATTTATAACAACACCTTTCCAATTCCTTGCTATTAAAATCCTGGCTGCTGTGGTTTCATACATAAAAAGTGGTCTGTGGTTTTTCTTAATTTCCATGGACATAATACCTAACAGGAAGGATTCAGGGTTTTTTTTGGGAAATGAGAGTTTGAAGATCTTTTAAACTTTAGAGTAAAGGGTAAAGAGCCAGTGTGGTGTAGTGATTAGGAGCGGTAATCTGGGGAACTGGGTTCGCTTCCCTGCTTCTCCACATGCAGCTGCTGGGTGACCTTGGGCCAGTCACACTTCTCTGAAGTCTCTCAGCCTCACCCACCTCACAGTGTTTGTTGTGGGGGAGGAAGGGAAAGGAGAATGTTAGCCGCTTTGAGACTCCCTAGGGTAGTGACAAAGCGGGATATCCAAACTCTTCTTCATCTTCTTCTTAGAAATTGTATCCCAGAATTCTTTTATCCTCTTGCATTCCCACCACATGTGTATAAAGGTACCAACCCCACTTTTCCCTCTCCAAGAAACATCTGAACTGTTTTTGTACATCTTGGCCAATTTGGCCGGGGTTAGGTACCACCTGTATAACATCTTCATCACATTTTCTCTAAGATTATAGCATGCAGTGAATCTTATGTCCTCCTTCCACAGCCTTTCTCACTCCTCCATATATATTGTGTCCAATATGTTGGGCCCAGTGTATCATAACCCATTTTAGTTCCTCCTCCTTGACTTCCCAGTCACTTAAGTCACATTCAAAGTACATGCTTCCCTCCCCCAAAGGATCCTGGGAATTGTAGCTTGTTCATCGTGGAGCTACATTTCCCAGCACCCTTAAACTTAAGTTCCCCGGCTGGCTGCATACACATCATACGTTTAAAGCATGTATCTTTCCCCCCAAAGAACCCTGGAAATCATAGTGTACCCCTCACTGGGCTACAGTTCCAAGCACCTTTAAACTAAAGTGCCCAGGGTACTTTGAGGAGAATGTACTTTAAATGTGTGGCATTTGTGCAACCTGGTTGCATATGCAACATAAATTTAAATTACATTTCTCACCTTCAAGTTCCCCAAACCCTTAACAGACCACAGTCCCAACATTCTTTTGTCGTGAGGGGGAATTGCGTGCTTTGACAATGTAGTGTGTTCATACCCTCAGTTGCTTTACTGTGTAAGTCGCTTTGAGGTACCTGAATGCAAAAATAATGTGGGATTTAAGAGGTTTGGTGATGCATCTTACTCTAAACACCCATGACATGTCATAGAAAATAATCCAACTCTGGGATCATCTCTTGAGGTTAATTCTTTCACTGAACAAGTGGTGTGCCTTTCATTCCCACACACTGCTCCAGTAATGTTTGCAGCTGAAGCCTACATTTCAAGAAAGTTCCAGGAATCAGTGAAGCACTGCTGATTTTTCTACAATGTCTTATAACGAGCTTGTAAAGCTTGTGTAACCTGGGTAGCCAATTCAAAATTTGTGGTCACCAGAACATGCCCTTGCTACAAAGAGCCTGCTGCACCACTGGAAGATGGAGTAAGATGAAGGACAAAGATGCACGGGTGTGATATCTTTCCCTGTCTCTGCACCTGCATCATCTTCCTCCAGCTCAGAGCCAGAAAGGTAAGACAGAGGTTTGTTTTGGCTCTCTGTTCACACCCGGCAAGTGCAGAACTAAAGCAAGCTGTAGGCTTCTAACCATGTTTGGGACTGTGGAGAGCATAATTATTTTTATCCCTCAGCAACTCTAATGTCAGAAGAAGGCCTCAGACTTGACTCACTCAAAAGAGCACGTCTAACTCCTTGCTCTGATGAAGGGAGCAAGCAGGACTTTTTTCTTCTAATAAAGAGTTAACTTCACTTAATCCATATGATTTCTTTCTGGCTGGCTCGCTGAGAAACTACCACCGAAGGAGCATGGTGTGTCCTCCACCAAAGGTACTACCTCTCCTCTAACACCACCCACACTAATAAAACACACACAGGTACTGTCCAGGATTCAAAATGGCACCCAACATCCAAACATCAATGAAGACCCCCCCACACACACACCTTGAGCACTCCTGAGATGAATCTAGCGATCATATCCCTACTTGTGGCTGAACATATGCCACAAAACGGGCAAAGTCATGCCAAACTGAAATTTCAGTCTGCCATCTTGATTCAAAATGGCACCCAACATACAAACAGCAACAAGGTCTGCCGCCCCACCCTGGGAACCCTCATGCCAAGTTTAGTATTATAAATGGAGAGTTCTCCAATTGTATAGAGGGTAAATGGGCAAACCATTTCCCAAAATATCAGTCAGGTCAACATATTCCTCCAGCATGACATAGAAAAAGTGTTGGGGGTGGGAGGGAGAGGTGGACTCCCCAGAGTTGGAATTAATAGATGGCAGAAAAAGCCAGTGTCTTGTCAATACATAATTCCAATTAAAAGCTGTAAAATCATGAGTCCCAGCTCTTGGGAGCAGGAAAGAAGGGGTTGGGAGCGATTCACTGATAAATGTATTTATGCACTGGCTCAATGGGAAAACTTTAGAAATTCATCGGAAATCACTCATTGTATCAATTTTCTCCGTTCCAATGGCATTTAGGACCCAGGGAAGTGAGGTATAAGGGGAGGGGTGAGTGAGCCCACCTAATCCCCGAGATGTACAGACACATCTGCAGGGCCTTCCCAAGGAGTCATGGCCAGTGATATCCAACCACCTCAGTCACAATGCCTATCCATCCTATAGTGGGATGAAGCCGGACAAGACAGAGGGGTGTATTTGATTTGACTCAGGGACCAAGGAGCTGTAAATACTTTCCTTTGTACTGGGATGGGAGTAAGTGTGAAAGACTATATTTGCGTGACAGGGGTATGCCTGGATCTCAGGTTCTCAGGCATTACCTCAATAGAATTAGAACAGAGAGAGGGGGAAAATCAAAAGAAGGGAGATTACCATATTCATTTTTTAAAATGGCAGAAAATTTAAATTTAAAAGACGCATGGAGACATAGATGCCCAAATGAAAAAATAATACACAAATTATTCTGGGGAGGGGTGAGTGAGCCCACCTAATCCCCAAGATGTACAGACACATCTGCAGGGCCTTCCCAAGGAGTCATGGCCAGTGATATCCAACCACCTCAGTCACAATGCCTATCCATCCTATAGTGGGATGAAGCTGGACAAGACAGAGGGGTGTATTTGATTTGACTCAGGGACCAAGGAGCTGTAAATACTTTCCTTGGTACTGGAATGGGAGTAAGTGTGAAAGAGTATATTTGCGTGACAGGGGTATGGCTGGATCTCAGGTTCTACCTGAGACCACACCTTTTCTGTGACAGATCTATGATGTCTTGATGATGCATCCTGAGATGTTTTATGGGAAACTTTAACATACGGATGTAACCATTGATGGGGGCTTCTGGCTGCTTTGTCTTTGTGGCAGTGGGAAGCCTTGTTGCAACAAGAAAGATCAGGCCTACTGGCTGCTGTTTTGTTTCTATCACCTGGCTAAAGTCTCTTGCTTGTGACGCTCGACCTGAACTTATAGAAGTCAGGGTTAGGTGATTGTGGGGTGCTCCAAGGACTCCCTGTTACACCTGAAATGAAAGGGTCTGGAATGTTCCAGAACTGGCAACCCTGGGGAATAACCTTTGCTGTTATGTAAGTTTGGAGTGTGTGACAGGTGGGGTATGTGAAAGAGAGAGAAGCTACGAAGCTCTTTGGTACGATAATTATAATGTTGGAAGCAGGGCTTTTTTCAGCTGGAACTTGCCGGAACTCAGTTCTGGCACATCTCAGGTGGGCGCTATCACTGGCAGAGGAAGGGGTATGTGGGTGCAGGGCTGCCCTGGGTGTCATCCCTGTGGAGGAACATCACTACGCCGCTTCCCTGGGATACTCGCCATGCCTCCCTGGGACACCCGCCAGCCCCCCGACACTCACATTGTCCCTGCAGGTGGCTAGCCCCACCCCCACGGGCAGCTAGCCCTGCTCCAGAGTGCAGAGCACTAGCTCTGGGTACCATTGCCATTCTAAGAGAATGAGGGAGGTGTTCGCGGTGCATTCTGGCACATCTTTTTCTAGAAAAATGGCACTGGTTGCTGACCCTCCAAGTGTCCATATTTACCAGGGATGTTCCTGATTTAAAGATGCCATCCTGGTTTATGATTTGATCTTGGAGTGTCCCACTTCTCCTTAGGATGTCCCTATTTTCAATGGAGAAAGGTTGGAGGGTGTGGAGTTATCCGTCCCCTGAGCCATCTGAAGGCAGTCCTCTATAGGGAAGTTTTTTTAAAAAAGTAATGTTTTATGTTTTTATATATGAGACTTCCGGTGTGGTGCCCTCAGTGGTGGGTCGAGGGAAAGTGCTCTGCATCAGTGGAGCATGCCCAATCACGGTAAACGGGAACTGGGGAAGAGCGAGGCGTTTCACAACATGCTGTGCCTGTGAATACTTTCTTTATCCTGAGCAAACCGTTTTCTATGACTGTTTTTTCGGACTGATGAAGCGTGTAGCGAAACCTGTAATATATCCTGAGAACAGGTCTCCTTTTGCCCACTTGCGTTATTCTCACCAGGGTGGTGGCTTTGATTTGCCTTCCTGTGATTGATCCATGCAAACGGCTTTGTGTTTTCAACTCAAGACCTATTGAAGAACATCTCATCCAGTTCAATCTTTGAAGAACAGCTTTGAAAAACTTTTTCATATTCTCTAGTGTGCTTCCCTTGCCATTGTGGCGGCACAGGGTTGCCGTTCTCTGATTGGACTTATGCTACTTGTTGAACAGTTCATTTATTCAGTCTGTGTAACGTTTATTGCACATGCAACTTGTTAAGATACAGTTGTACATTTATCCACTCCATGTTTACAGTATCTCCAGGCTTTGTTTTGCACATGGCACCTTAGTATGTTTGTTACTTGAATGGTTACAAGTCTAGCTCTATTCTAGTTATTATTCTAGTAAATTTGGTTTTATACTTCTAAGCCAGTTTGTGGTGGTGTTGTTTTGCTGCATTATTATTACTGTCACCACATTTGTTACTTTTGTATATACTTTGTAGTTTTGTAACAGAGATGAGGACCAAGGCACCGCCTTGTGCCTATCCCGAGTTTACCATTCAACCTTTGGGCAAGCCACTCTCTGTTTCAGCCTCCTCATCTGCAATACGAAGAGATTACTAATACTGGCCTCCCTCACAGGACTGGTGCTAATTCTTAACATATTGGGTGTATGTACATGAAGCACCTAACATGCCCTATAAATGGTGAGTCGGTTTTTGGCGTACAGAACCACACAAATACCCCTCCCCTTCTTGCCTTGCTAAAGTGAAAGAACTAAGGCAACAGGGTTAATTTATTTTAATTGCACTTTATTATTATTTTCTTCAAGATCCGGTTTTGCCAAGGTTCAAAACTGGAGGTGAGCTATGGCAATAGGTTAAGTTTGGTTTCCACAGAGAGGAGCTGTTCAAGGTGATACCCATCGCTACTCCCAGCAGCAGCTGGGTCAAAAGTGTGTAGGGTACAGGTGTGTTCGGCAGTGGTGAAGTAAACAGTCAGGACTTTGAAGCTAGACAAAGTCCCCAATTGACATTTGCTACCGAGAGAGAGAGAGAGTCACCCCTCTTCCTGCCAGCAGCCTCAAAAACCACAAGTTAAGGCCACCAAAGCCCAAATGAGCAATCTGGGGAGGCCCACAGGAAAAACCCCAGCTCCATCCATCTCAGCCCCAGATCAGCAATCACTGAAGCTCTTGAGAAAAGAAAGTATTGCCATGGCATTTGCCAAGCTGCTTATCCCAGCAGGTACAGGTCATCGTCGTCATCGTCATCATCATCATCAAAGAGTGGGGTGGGGGGAGGCCGACCCTTAAGGCTCTGAAACCGAGAGAAAGAAAGGCAGGGTTAGGTCACTGCTGCTTGGCAGAGCAGGCTCTGACTCAGGTGGCCAGCTGAGCAGGACCATCAGCAAGGCAAGCGGGAGAAGGAAGGCAAAACATGCCACAAAACTGTAACAATATAGCGCCCCTAACAGCCACAGGAAAGAATGGTGGTGCCCTGGTAACAAAACACTACCACTTTAGTTTATCAAACACCTATTGAGGGCCTCTATGCCTGGCACCTTAAGCCGTCCCAAATGGCACCATACACCACTGCACCCCCTCAAAGCTCTTACCACCTCTTCCTCGTCGTCGTCTTCTGCCAAGAGAGTTCCCAATGCAGATGGCTTGGGAGTGGCAACTTTGAAGAAGCCACCCTTGTCCTCAAGAAGACTGCAAGAGAGAAAGACAGAAGGAAAAGGAGAGTGGGAGTGATGCAGTGGTTAACGGACCAGAACCCTGGGAGACCAGAGTTCAAATCTCTACTCAGTCCTGAAGCTCATTGGGTAGTGCCTACCTTACAGGGTTGATGTGGGGGTTAAATGAGGGAGTGGGGGAGTGCTAGCACTGATGTCAATGAATGGAGCAGAGGGGTGTTGAGAATTCCATTCCTCCCGTACTGCAGATGTGTGTGGGATTGTTACATGTCACATGTCTGTTTACATTCCAGCACTGATTGTGGGAGTCTTGTGAGAGGAAGTTGAGATATGCTGTTTCCGCTCTGTATAGCTTTTGTTTTTTGCCGCTCTCTCTCCGAGGAAGAAAGACAGAGAGAGGAGCCATGTTTTCTTTGTTCTGTTACGTTTGATTTAATTTGTAATAAATTAGGCTTAGATGTTACTACTCAAGGCTGAGCTTCTGTTTTGAACTCTGCTCACTGTGTGCTCATGTCCCTGGATATGGGCCACATCAGTGTGACAGGAGACCCGAGGAATGAATCCCAGGCGACGCTGCAGTTGGGGGGAAGCAACAGGCCTTGGCGTTATCACCCAACAAGGGGGAGCCAGGGTCTTCCTTTGTGTCTTAAACCCCATGTTATTAGGGGGTGGGGGGGAAGGCACGGAAAGGCAAGAGACTCATAATTGGTACAGTTCCCGTCCCCCTCCCGCCCTGGCACAGACCTGGAATCCGCTTCCATGGGGCTGGACGCTGGTCTTGGCTGTGAGGCTCCAGCCAAGTCCTGCTGCTTGTCGGCTACAGCAGCTTGAGAGGTGGGGCCAGCGGTGTGCTGACTTGCCCCACTCTGCTCCTTGCCCTCTGGACCCGTTGTGGGCCCCTCCATTGGAGGTGCCGTCTCATCCGCCGCTGGATTTGGAGGTGCCAGAATGGCAGTGTCTTTTGTGTCCATTTCACCCTGAGTGCTTGGCCTCTCCTTCTCAATACTGGCGGAGAGCCTGAGAGGCGGCCTTGCAGTTTGAGCAGAGGCTGCACAAGTTTGTTCAACCGGTGCTTCCGAAGAATGAGCCTCAGGAGCTGCAAAAAGCAGACTGTCTTGGGCTCCTTCGAGAGCGGTGGATGGAGGACTGCTTGAGCTTTCCTTCAGATTAGCCAAAGGAGCGGGGGATGCCACTGGTGCTGGTTCTCGGAGAGAGTTGCTGTGGGGATCCCCATAAAGGGGTGCGGCACTTGGCTGCTTCCTTTCCGCAGGTCCTTCCTCCTCGGTGCTGCTGCTCCCCCTTTGCTCCTCCTGACTCTCCAGCAGCTGCAGAGTTGTTGTCTGGAACAAGTAGAGGGGAGGAGGGATTATTTGCCACAAAAAACGACTGCAGCCCCTGATGAAAGTACTGTGTAATGGTTGGTCTCTAACCAGGACTCAGGAGACCAGGGTCTGAATCCCTACTCAGCCACACAGGCACAGCTAAGTGACTTTCACTTTGTAGTACCTTAGATACCACCTGTTATTTCTAGAGAGCTGGGCTTCACCCTCTTTGCTGCTCCAATGCTTAGGAATATGGTGCTACATGCCACCCCAAGTCTTTGCTTCCCCCCCCCTTCAAAAGCTGTCCTGGACAGGCTTCGCGGACCTCTCCGCAAGCAGCAGGAGCGCTCCCGCTGCTTGCGGAGAGTTGCCAGCATGCCGAAGCCTGCGCGCGCCGAGATCAGCGCGCCCAGGCTTTGCAGCCCCGCCGCCCGGCATTGGAGCTTCGTTCCGATGCCGGGCGGCGGGAGGAGGCGTTCCCGCCCCGCATCGGAGCTTGGTTCCGATGCCGGGCGGCGGGAGAAGGCGTTCCCGCCCCGCCGCCCGACATCGGAGCTTGGTTCTGATGCCGGGCGGGGGGAGGAGGCGTTCCCGCCCCGCCGCCCGGCATCGGAGCTTCGTTCCGATGCCGGGCGGCGGGAGGAGGTCCGAGGACAGTGGGGAAGACGCGCTGCGCTTCCCCGCTGTCCCGGAGATTTCCCTATGGGCTTTCGTCTTGCGAAGCAAGCCCATAGGGAAATTCGTTTTGCGAAGCGCCTCCAAAACGGAAAACCCTTTCGTCTAGCGGGTTTTCCGTCTTGCGAGGCGTTCGTCTTGCGGGGTACCACTGTATATAGTTTATTTACACCTGAGCCTATAATGGAGCATACACTCCAAGAGAGTCCCGTTTTTCCCGTTGCTGCAACCTCTAATTCAAACTGTTTTGATCTGTGCTCTGATCCTGCCTCTCCAGCTTGCTGCATTTAACAGACTGAAAGCCTTTTTTCTTTTGATCACACCATAGCCAACTGAAATCCTAAAACTTCCTCCTAACCAAAACTTTGGCACTCTCTTCAAACTCACTATCTCAAAGCTCTGGGTGGGGCTTCACCCATCTGCTGGCTGGTAGAGCGTCTGTCTTGCTGATGGCCCATCTTTCTGTCTGCAGCACGTACTGTATACTAAAACTGGATTGATAAAGAGGTTAGCATGGCCTCTGCAAATTGGTGAAGTGTTCCATTTTTTAAAGATGTTTAATGTTTGACTATGTTTTATATATGTGTTGGAAGCCACCCAGAGTGGCTGGGTATAAACAAAATAATAAATCAATCAATCAATCAATCAATCAATCATAATCATCATCATTATCATCTTCTTCATTATTAGTTCTCTAATGGCCCACCTCTCAAGCGATCTCCTCAACACAGGAAGCTGAGTCCAGCTGTTAAGCATCTGACTTTCAGTTTCACTCTCCAAGCAGTGATTACATTCTAACACTTACTAAACCCAGTAGTTATGGGCATCTTGCACCCAAAACTCTGGCACCCAAACTCATGACATTTGGAACCATACAAAAGGGAAGAGAAATGATAGACCAGTTCACTCAATCTGCATCTTATTCAGGTGTCAGGATCCATCTGCCCTGGGCTGTACCTTGATGGTGTTCAGGACGATACCCAGGACCTCCTGGCCAGTATAGGACTCCTCCAAGTTGAACTGGCTCCGCAGGGACTGGAAGACCTCGTTCATGATCTTCTTCACCTGGGGCAGGATGATGCCAAAGAGTCAGAAGGCAGGGAAGCAACACCAGAAAGGACAGTGGGCTTGCAAGAGCTTCTGGACAGCCAAATGTGGTGATGATTTCATTTATTCATTTATTTTACAACCAACATACATTATCTGGATAGCATCCACGTGCCAAGCGATGGATGACATTGAATTGTGCTGTTCAGACTAACAGGTAAGAACTCCCGATTGAAGTTACAGAAGTGTGGATTGCCATTGCTTTTGCTGAATGTGATTAAGATTTCTCTCTACTGCTTGTCCCCCCACCACTTTCCTTAACACTTCTTATTTCAAGAGCACTTCAGGGTTTGTTACAGAGAGAGGTTACAGAGTGTGTATTTTTAGGAGATACCTTATTTGTGAGACTGTAAACTATTTTAAACTGTTGTTAACTGCTGTTGCCTCTGCCAACCTGGTGCCCTTCCAAAAGTTTGGGACCAATTAGGCAAGCCACATTTCCACACTGCATTGTGATCAGGGAGTCCAGCATCTCTCTCTACAAATTGTATACAAGGTAAAATCCCACCCAACTGCCTGCATTGAATTTTTCAGGGTCCTCCAGCCTTTGACAACATGTAATTTATGAGTTGCTTTTTCAGCTAACGCTAAGCTCTATATACAGTAATGCAGTTCAGTCTCTGTATTACTACACAGCATCACACTGGTTCACAGCACAGATGTGTAACAAGCCTGTGGGACACGTTAGAACTACAAACCCTCCATCAAGACGTTTTAAGAGAGCCCCACTGACCTTGCCTTTCACAGGCTCTGGCTGTTCCTGCTCTGGTGACAGCTTCTCGTTCTCTGAGCTTCTTGTGGTTTTTAAGCAGGGAAAGCTAGAAGGAAACCAGCATTAACTAAGTGGTGGTCCGCAGACCACAGTTCAGGAGCCCCTGTAATAAACAGTAAGCAGAGAGACCTAGGGCAGACATGAGAAGCCAGCAGAGGTGTTCCAAGGACAGGTGGCTCCTGCCCATTGAGGTGGGTGGGGCAGAAGGCAAGGAGCCCAATGACAGGCAGAGCCACATCCGGATTGGCTGTAAGGAAGAAGGCAAGCCAATGGTGGCTGGGTGAGGGCAGTGCCCTGTTTGCCTAATAGACGAGACTCCACTGACTATCACTTCTTGGGGGCCGCCTGCCAGGAGTAAAAGTAGGTGGAACAACACACGTTAATTTCCCCACTTGTCCCTTTCAATCCTCCATTTAAGAATGAAAGAAGAACCCCAGCCAGATGTGCGGGGTATAGATTCTTTCATCATCATCATTATCATTATTATTAGATCTTCCAGGGAGGCAAAGAACAGTCAAGGGTGCAAAGCTGGGGGGGGAGGGAGAGGGGTGTGGCACTGGCATAATCCTACGGGTCAGAGAGAGTTGTCCAGGGAGCCACTTCTGGCCTCGGGTGATGACTTTTGCCACCCCTGGGGACTACCTTCTCCAGATTCTCCTTCTGAACGCGGATATCAGCCAGCTCCTCTTCCAGGGCTGCCACCTTCTCATCCAACTTCTTCCCACTCAGCTTCTCCTCCTGGTATCTGCTTTTCATGTCGTCAGACGATTTATGAAGTTCTGTGGAGGTGGGGCACAGAGCCGGTTACAGTGCATGTCCTTGTTTCCATCCACTGCTGTAGCTAAGCCTAAGTACAGCGCCATCTGCACTATATGCGTCAAACACTCACAGCTTCCCACAAAACATTCTGGGAAATGGGAACATTCTCCTAAGGGTGCTGAGAGGTGGTGGGACACCCCGGTCTCCCACCACCCCCAGCTACAATTCCCAGACTGTTAAACTATGCTGGAAATGGCCGCTTAAGCAGGGCTCTCAACTTCCAACACAACTATTGGCAGCTGGAATGAACCACACTTCCCAGGATTCCTTGGGAGAAAGCCATGACTGACTGCAGTGGCATGATAACGCTGTATAGTGTGGATGGGGCCTCCGTGTAACTTTAAAGACATACAGGTGAAACTTAAAAAATTAGAATATCGTGGAAAAGTTCATTTATTTCAGTAATTCAACTTAAAAGGTGAAACTAATATATGAAATAACTCATGACATGCAAAATGAGATATGTCAAGCCTTTGTTTGTTATAATTGTGATGATCATGGGGTTTATAGACATATCTCACTCTTACACTGCTCTGCTCTTGCATGCAGGGCAAGGAAGGTGCAGAATCTGCACAAACCCATTTTCTATTATGTTACATTATTTATTGTTTGTAAGCTGGAGATTCAGTTCAACAAAAAGCAGCATAGAGTTTGTAGAGATCAGAAGCTTGCCTTTTTTAAACAGATGGGATTAAAGTCAAGAGTCTTTTTGGAGATTGTGTGTCTGAGTTTTTAACAGCTACACTGCAGGAGGCCCTAAGGAGCAGGACCTCCAGAGATTGCTGGACTCCAACGCCCATCATCCCTGGCTACGCTTGCTGGGGCTCATGAGAGGTGAAGGCCAGTAATACTTGGAGGGCCACAGGATCCCTACCAGCAAGCCAAAGAATTTCCTAGGATGATAAAACTGCTCTGCATGTGCTTGGATAGTGCTCTTCTGCCATTTCAGCGCCTCCTCTCAGCTTCCCTTACCTGCCAGCTGTTCACGGAGTCGGCTGACCTGGGCTTTCTGCCTCTCCGATTCTGTCAGGGCTTCATTCAGTTGGGAGTGGAGATCTATCTCCTGCTTCTGATGACGGGCCAGCTCCAGCTGCAGCTGGGTGATCTGTGCTGTGGCTTCCGCTAGCTCCTTGGTGACCCTGACCTGCAACGCAAAGGAGCAGAAGAGACAGGAGAACATATGGGGAAGGAGAACCCACAAGACCTTTCCTGGGAGGATGCAAGAGCTGTGCTTTTGGAGGCTCCCAAATGCTAAGAATGAGTCTCCCAGGAAACACCCTGCAGAACTGGTCTACTGGCAAGGCTATGAGGAGCAGGGGGAGGCAGAAGCCTTGGGCTTTTCAGTTAGTTCAGGAGAAAGCATGCACGACAAAGGTGCATAAAATGGAGAGCAGAAAAGATTTCCCCAGAAAATTCAGGACAGACAAAAGAAAGGACATCTTCACACAGCAGAGCTCTCTCCCACAAGATAAAATGAAGGCCAAACAGTTAGATGGCTTTAGTAGTGGATTAGACAAAACAATGTGGCAGGAAAAGCTATCCACAGCCAACAGCCACAAGGGCTAGGGTCTCCCTCCACTGTTGTAGACAGCATGCTGTTCCTGGGAATCGCAAGTGGGGTGAACGCAGATCCTGCTTGTAGGATTCACATCTGGTTGTGAGAATAAGATGGGCTTTGGGCCTGATCCAGCCAGGCAAAAGCACTCAAGGAGGGTGCAATGTAGGTCTGGTGAAGTTGCGTGGCTTGGAAGGAGTTTTGAGGGCCAAGCACATAGGCCTGGAAGGTGGTTTTTGGTCCAGGGGCCTGGAGTCCCCCCCACCCCTGATTTCGAAAAACTTGGGATGCCAAGGCACAGAGAGGCCTCACAACGAGAGACACCTGCAGAAGGCGTGGGGTTTTCCCCTGCTAAAATTATGAAATGGTGACCTGGAAAGTATGAAGGGAGTAAGGAAGTGCTCAGGTGATCAGGACACCCAAGGACAATGCCTCACCTGGTCCCACCCCTGATCCAGTGGCGGCATGTGCTAGAGAGAAAAGCGGCAACAAGGAGAGGAGAGTTAACACCACCAGAAGCAAGAACAGCAAGAGGGGAGAAAGTTTTATCAAAAGAGGCAATGGCATTCTGGGTTAAGAGCACTCTGCTTATTCTGTGGTCCAAGGGCTGATTATATCACTCAAAATCCCAGCGGCCTCAGGATAAGATGCATGGAAGATCCCGTAATGGCAGGGTTTGCACGCTGACGCCCAAGCAAGAACAGGCCACAGCAAACCTGGACTTGCATGCTCTCCCCTTACATCTCCTCCTCTCATGCGGCCAGGAACCCGGACACTTATGCCCAGCCATGGTTTGCTGTGTTGCCTGGGACAACGAGCTGCAGCTAACATCAACAATGGTTAATATCAACACACCAACTTCAAATGTTTGTTTCTATAAGCTAACTTCAGAATCTAATTCTGCTTAACATTAATGGCTGTTCTCAGTCCAGACAACAGAGGAAGCAGCAGTTACCTAGAAGTGGAAACTCTCATGCCCTTCTTCTTGGCTCCATAGGAGGAGGTGAGGGGGACGTTAATTGTGCTTGCTCACGTCATGCAAACCCACAGTTTAGCATGGCATATGAATACAGCAAATGAGATCTTAATGTACCCCAATGTGGTGCATTTTTTTCCTTAGGCACTCTGTTAGATTTTAAAAGGACATTCTGTTGTTCTTTCATATTCGATCTGAGGTGCTTTTCAACGGATTACCTGAAGCTTATGAATCTTTTACCTGTATGTGCATGTATACCTAGACAGTCATTTCTTCTACAGTGGTACCTCGGGTTAAGTACTTAATTCGTTCATGAGGTCTGTTCTTAACCTGAAACTGTTCTTAACCTGAAGCACCACTTTAGCTAATAGGGCCTCCTGCTGCCGCCGCTGCATGATTTGTGTTCTCATCCTGAAGCAAAGTTCTTAACCTGAGGTACTATTTCTGGGTTAGCGAAGTCTGTAATCTGAAGCGCGTGTAACTTGAAGTGTATGTAACCCGAGGTACCACTGTATTTTGTTGTTGCTGCTGCTCAGAAATGTAACTTCTTTCTGGCCTGCAGGCAAAGGGGAATTGTGACCTGCACTAGCAATTGTGAATTCAAGGACGGGGTCCTGGGAAAGCACTTGCCCTCCCCATAGCCTCAGTCACTTGGCCCTCCTGTTGTAGCTGTCACACTGCCAGGGCTTACCTTCTCCTGTTCAGCATGTAGGACCCTTGCCTGGGTGTGCTCCATGGTCCTCTGCAGTGAGCTGTTGCTCTGCTCAGATAACAGGTTGCTCTGCTCCACATAGCTGGGGGAAGAATTGTTTTTTGCACACATGAATGTTTGCATGATTTGATAATTTGCATCCTCTCATGTAAAAAAAGAAATCAAGGCTGTATCATATGTAGATCACACTTTTCAAAAGCCACCCTAGGAGAGCTTCTATCTTTTATATCAGAATCATAATAGTTCTTATTTTATGTTCCATCTTTCCTCCAAGGAGCTCAAATACTGGTATATAGTTTTCCTCCCTTTTTTATCTTCACAACCCTGTGAGGTAGCTTAGGCTGAGAGAGAGTGACTGGCCCAAGGTCACCTTCAAGGCAGAGTGGGGATTGGAACCCTGGTCTCCCAGATCTTACTCTGACAGACCCTCTTAACTGCTACCCCACACTGGCTATATTCCTGTATTCCTCCATTTGTCCATCCAGCCCAGTACTGTCCACTTTGACTGGCAGCAGCCTTGGGGTGCCTGGGGATTGAGCCAGGCCCCCTGAGCTTTAGGCTTCAGCCAGAAATACCAGCTGTTTCTCATAGAGCATTAAAAGTGAGCAAGAGTCTCCCTCACCGTTGGTTGCGGTCAATCAGTTCACCAATCTTCTTGTTCTGCTCCTCAATGCGGCCGCTCTTCTCAACGATCTCCTGCTTCAACCTCTCATTTTCCTGTGGCACAAAGAGCAAAACGGAATGCGTCAGAGCCAGTCCTGGCCTCTACAACTCTCACAATCTCCAGCCACAATCTCTTCCCCAACCTCTCTCGGGGACCCAGATTTGAGGAGAGAAATCGTTGTGGTCTTCCGCCATGGTCATGGACAGAACATGGGCAGTTTGGAGCTGCTCCCCTTTAGCAAGCCTCCTAGGTAAACTTTATTTCGTAAGCAAATTGCGAGACAGCTGTACTGCATGAAGCCATGGAAGCAAGATACTTGGTAAAAGCAAAATACAGCACAGAAATCCAAGCTCTGAGAATGAATAAAATCAGTTTCACAAACTCTGATACAATAAGCCCATCTATTCTACTCAACTTTAAAAAACAACACCATTTCAGCAGATATAAAACGATCTGCATAACTGACATCTCAGGATGGAAAGCCCTCCAAAGCAAGCATGCTTTCAAGAGGCATCTGAACAGCATCACTCTAGGCCCTGGTCTGATTTCTGGATGTCTGGAGCTGCAATACTAAAAGCCCAATTGCTAGTGCAGCCTTAGATGAACTGGAACAGAGGAAGCTCCCTTAGCCCAAGCCAGATAGTTGCATGTATCCAGCTCAGTGCAGCCTACAACAGGGGCAAAGAACCTCTGCCAGTCCAAAGGCTGCCTTGCCTCTGGATCAACTGTCCAGGTGTGGGCGGGGCTAGGGACAAAAGTGGGTGGGGCAACCGATGTGGCTATAATACAGGAGACTAGAAGTCTCTACACCGATTGCTCCACATCCAGGCTAGCAACAAAGACACTTCCAGCTGGCCAAAAGAACTCAAGGAAGGTGCAGAGCAGGAACAGGGAAGGACAGGGCAGCATCTGTGCCCAAGGCTCCCCACTGACTGGCAGCGTCTCCTTCAGGGTTTCAGGCACGGGGTCTCTCTCAGCCCTGCCAGGAGACACCACTGGGGACTGTACCCGGGACCTGTTGCCTGCGAATCACATGCTCTGCCGCTTAGCTGTGACCCTTCACCTGAAGGTAAAAGCAAGGTTCTAGTCCTCATGCTCTCAAGTACAGTGGTGCCCCGGAAGACGAATGCCTTGCAAGATGAAAAACTCGCTAGACGAAAGGGTTTTCCGTTTTTTGAGTCGTTCCGCAAGACGAATTTCCCCATGGGCTTGCTTCGCAAGACGAAACGTCTTGCGAGTTCTTGCGAGTTTGTTTCCTTTTTCTTAAAGCCGCTAAGCTGTTAATAGCTGCTAAGCCGGTAAGCCGTTAATAGCCGCTAAGCCGCTAATAGCTGCTAAGCCGCTAATAGCCGTGGTTCGCAAGACGAAAAAAGCGCAAGACGAAGAGATTCGCGGAACGGATTAATTTCGTCTTGCGAGGCACCACTGTAGACAAGCTCTTTACCTGCAGGATACGCTGGATGTTACTCATGATCATAGAGGTTTCCATGGTAACAGAAGAGACGCCTGGCAGCAAACCGGGGCCAGAGTTTTGCTTCCGTAGTTCCTCCAGCTGCAAGGGATGTGGGGAGAGAAAGGAAAAACAAAAAGGAGATGCAGCTTGAAGCATCAGCACACGGGAGAGAAAAAGCCAGATCAGGCCTGGGCCCTTTGAGCTGCTCACTTGTTTGCCAAGGAGAGAAACTGCTGGGAGCACAGGAACCTGGCTCAGTATCAGACCACTGGGTCCATCTAGCTCAGTGCTGTCAACACTGGCGGGCAGCATCTCCCTGGGTTTTCAGACTGGGGTGTCGCCCAGTCCTTCCTGGAGATGTCAGGGAGCTAACATGGAACCTTCTGCATGCAAAAAGGTGCTCCACCACCTAGCTAAAGCAACTTCCCTCGTCCCAAACCTCCCCCCCATCAGAGATTAAAAAGACAATTCACAAGCCTACTATAAAAGCAGCTAGATACAGTTCTCCAAACAATATGAAACAGAAGTAAAACCTGAAGGTAGAGTGATTATTTCAGAAAATGTATATCCTGCCTAATATATGTATTTTTTAATGAACATAAAACGCCAAAGTTGTTTAAAAGCCTGAAAACAGTTGAACAACAATCAATATCAGGCAGGCACCTTCACTGTACAGGCAACTCCCCATCTGTGGGCGCACCAGTTTTGGCCCTGCAGGGGTGCGGGGCAGGCTGACATGCACAGTGCCTCAGAACGCAAACCCCGTGTAAATGGGGAACTGCCTGTACCCTTTTCGGCACCTGCTTCTTTAGATCTCTAGAATGCTGATAGGTTTCTAGTTTATGGCTGGTTTTAATTTTTTGAATATGTAAATTGTTTTTACTAATAATTCTACTGTTTTATTCTTCTTGTAAAGTGCTTTGAGTTTTTTTATGAAATAAAATAATCAACAATACAAAACCAACACCTCAGGGGAGGGAGCTTTTCAGCCCACTGGAAAAGCTGTTGCAAGAAAAACACCTTCCTATTGTTTCTGGAAAGTGCTAGCAAGGCAGTTCTTAAGCAGCTTCCTATCCTGAAAGTTCTGTATTACCTTGACTGACAGCTGGTCCATCTTGTCAGCCACCTTCCCAACGGCCAGGCGGATCTCTGTGTTCTGCTGCCGGGTCTCTGTCAGCAGGAATGTACCAATGTCTCCAGCTGCTGTGACAGGAAAGAAAACTTGGCAAGGTTGTGTTTGTTATTGTTGTTTCAAAATGAGACTGCCAGCAGAAGCAAATACAGTGGTACCTTGGGTTACATACGCTTCAGGTTACAGACTCTGCTAACCCAGAAATAGTACCTCGGGTTAAGAACTTTGCTTCAGGATGAGAACTGAAACCGCGCAGCAGCAGCAGCGGGAGGCCCCATTAGGTAAAGTGGTGTTTCAGGTTAAGAACAGTTTCAGGTTAAGAACGGCCCTCCGGAACGAATTAAGTACTTAACCCGAGGTACCACTGTAGAAGTGGACAGGGCGGGAAGAGAGGGGTCACACCAATAAGAAAGGGCAGGGAGAAAAGAACAGAGTTGTCCTTGAGCATCTTAACAAGCAGCCGTGAATCTTCTGGGGTGGGGGGCTTTAAGGCAACTTAGCTGCCTCTTCCCAGCTTTTAAAGGGCTGGAATAAGGCAAAAGGAAATGCTTCTTCACACAGTGCAGACTTAAACTGAGCAACTCTCTTCTGCTGGAGGCAGTGATGGCCACCAACTTGGATGGCTTCAAAAGAGGATTGGACAAATTCACGGAGTATTGATGGCAACTAGCCATGATGTCCATGTTCTGACTTCACAATTGGGGGCAATAAATGCTTCTGAATACCAGCTGCTGAAAAGCACAGGAAGGGAAATATGGATTTGATTGACATATGGAGGACAAAGAACCCTCTAGGTAAAGAGGGAACTTTCTTTTCTGAGGCCCATTTGTCATGGACAAGAATCGACCAAATTTGGACAGCTAGAGGGCTGGCACCTAAAGTTAGAAAAGTGGAAATCTGCCCAAAAACCTGCTCCGACCATAACGCCTTGAAAATGGAATTGAGACTTACTCCAATCGGTTCCTTCAGATGGAAAATGAATGACACCCTATTAAGAGATCAGGAGATTGTGAAGAAGGCCCAAAAAACTTTAAAAGACTACTTTGAAATAAATTTGAACACCACGGTGGAAAGGAGAACAATCTGGGACGCAAGTAAAGCTGTTATGAGAGGGTTTCTGATACAACAGAATACGATTAAGAAAAGACAGTGGAACGAAAAAAAGGATAAAATTTTAGAGAAGATAAGAGACGGTGAGAAAAAATTGAGAACTAAACCAAAGTCGAAGGAGGTGCTGAGAGAAATTAAATTCCATCAAGCACAATATTCGAAACTGATAAATCAAGAGATTGAATGGAAAATTAAACAAATGAAGCAAAGATCATTTGAATCAGCGAATAAATGTGGAAAACTGCTAGCATGGCAGTTGAAAAAGAGACAAAAATTAAATACAGTTACAAACCTTGAGATAGAAGGGAGAATTGTTCAGAAACCGGATGAAATTAGAAAGTGTTTCCAGAGATACTTTAAAGAACTTTATACACAGGGGCCACAAGAAGAGACTGAGAGACCAATTTTTAAAAACTAATGGACTATCAAAATTAACTCAAGAAAAGAGAACAATACTGAATTGTAAAATAACACAACAGGAAATAGAGGGTGCCATCCAGAATATGCAACTGGGCAAATCTCCAGGCCCGGATGGACTTACCTCCAAATATTATAAGACATTAAAAGACTATTTAATACAACCACTAATGGAGGTTTGCAACCAGATTATGGAGGGGAAGAAGGCACCGGAAACGTGGAAAGAAGCTTTCATCACACTGATACCCAAACTGGAAACTGAAAAGACGCAACTCAAGAACTACCGTCCCATCTCACTCCTAAATGTGGATTATAAAATTTTTGCAGACATTTTGGCAAGTAGACTTAAAAAAGTACTTAATGAAGTAATTCACAAGGACCAGGCAGGCTTTCTCCCAGGTAGACATTTGTTTGATAACACTAGGAACATTATTGATATTTTGGAACTTTTACAAGCAAATATCAATACTAGAGCTGTGTTAATCTTTATTGATGCGGAGAAGGCCTTTGACAACATTTCTTGGATGTTTATGAAGAAAAATTTGGAAGGGATGGGAGTGGGATGGGGGTTTGAAAATGGAATAGAAGCAATTTATTCAGAGCAAAAGGCTAGACTGATAGTGAACAATGTGGTGACAGATGAGTTTAAAATTGAAAAAGGGACACGACAGGGGTGCCCCTTATCCCCTCTTTTATTTATCTCAGTCCTGGAGGTGCTCCTGAATATGATTAGGGAGGACCGGTTGGTGCAAGGAATACAGGTCGGAGTGAAACAATATAAACTGAAAGCTTTTGCAGATGATCTGGTTTTAACACTACAGGAGCCAGAATCTAGTACAAAAAGAGCTTTAGAGCGGATACATGAGTTTGGTCAGGTGGCGGGATTTAAGTTGAATAAGCAAAAAACCAAGGTTCTGGCAAAAAATTTGACATCAGCAGAAACAGATGTGTTCCAGAAGGAGAAAGAACTAAGTGTGGTCAAAAAAGTGAAATACCTAGGGGTTCATTTGTCTGCTAAAAATTTGAATTTATTCAAAGACAATTATGAAAAATGTTGGACGGAAATCAAAAAAGATTTAGAAATTTGGTCAAGATTGAAACTTTCCTTGTTGGGTCGAATTGCAGCTATAAAAATGAATGTATTGCCTAAAATGTTATTTTTGTTCCAAACCCTACAGATTGTGGACAGAGTAGACTGTTTTGGAAAGTGGCAGAAGGATATTTCTAAGTTTGTTTGGCAGGGCAAAAAGCCCCGAATAAAGTTTAAAATACTAACTGATTCAAAAGAAAGAGGGGGGTTTGCCCTGCCAGATTTAAGGTTGTATTATGAAGCTGCAGCTTTCTGCTGGATGAAAGATTGGTTACTTCTTGAGAACACTGATGTCCTAGATCTGGAAGGGTTTGACAATGCTTTTGGTTGGCATGCATATTTGTGGTACGACAAGGTCAAAGTTCATAAACTGTTTAAAAACCATATTGTCAGAAGATCAATATTTATGGTCTGGACAAAATACAAAGACTTATTGGAAGGCAAGACCCCGAGGTGGCTGTCACCAATGGAGGCCAAGGCTAGAAAAAGACCCAATATGGAGGCCTACTGGCCGAAATATTGGGAAATAATTGAGAAAATTGGGGATAACTGGAGGTTGCAGAGCTTGGAGAAATTAAAGAATAAGGTGCGAGACTGGTTACATTATGCTCAAATTCAAGAGGTTTTCAAATTAGATAAAAAAGTTGGGTTCCAGGTGGAAAAATCGAAACTAGAGACGGAATTGTTAGAACCAAAAACTAAGATACTCTCTAGAATGTACAACTTGCTGCTTAAGTGGAACACACAAGATGAGACAGTTAAATCTGCCATGATAAAATGGGCACAGGATATTGGGCACAACATTATGTTTGAAGACTGGGAAAGGTTATGGACCACCGGAATGAAATTCACGGCATGTAATGCCCTGAAGGAAAACATTATGAAAATGATATACCGGTGGTACATGACCCCAGTTAAGCTTGCTAAGATATATCACCTGTCTGATAATAAATGTTGGAAATGTAAGGAGGCTGAAGGGACCTTTTTTTTTCACCTCTGGTGGACATGCCCGAAAGTGAAGGCCTTTTGGGAAGTAATTTACAATGAGTTAAAAAGGGTATTTAGGTATACCTTTCCCAAGAATCCGAGATTTGGGAGAGGAAACAATGGAAGAGGACTGGAAAAAGTTTAAGGACTATTTGCAAAAACATTATAAATTGTATGAATGTTAAGAATGTGCATGATTTGGAAATTATAGCTTCAGCAAACTGATTTAGTGAATTGGAAAATAAGTTACAAGAAGGATAAGGTGGAGATTTGAAACAACTTTATTATGTCTATTTTAACGTACAAGTAATGGAGAAATTGTATTTTGAATCTAGAAACATAATATCTGAAAGATACAGTAAGGTTTGAAACAAGGTAACAAATTGCTGGTGTTTTTTATTCTAAAGTACGCTGGATTCGGAAGATGTGGGGAAGTCCAGTTGGATTTGTAAAAATGATTTGAAAAGTTGATTTTTTTTTTACTTTTTCTTTTTTCTTTTTTCTTTCTTTATGTCTATCAAATTGACTTTGTATGTGAAAATCCAATAAAAATTTTTATATATATATATATATATATATATATATATATATAAAAGAGGATTGGACAAATTCACAGAGTATTGATGGCAACTAGCCATGATGTCCATGTTCCGACTTCACAATTGGGGGCAATAAATGCTTCTGAATACCAGCTGCTGAAAAGCACAGGAAGGGAAAGGTGCTCAGATCCTGCTTGTGGGTTTTCCACAGGCATCTGGTTGGCCACTGTAAGAAGAAAATGCTGGACTACATGGGTCACTGGCCTGATCCAGTAGGCTGTGATGCTCTGAATGGGGGGGTTTCTAACTTTCACTGAGTTAATGCTCAACAGGTAGGATTTCATTTCCTGGGCTACAGAGGCAGATGCTCAACATTCCCTATCCGTACCAGTTTGGGAAATATGGGTGTCTTAATTAATACTGGTGAGTCACCATTTCTTTCTCTTATTATTTATTGTTTGCTTTCTTCATATATGGCAAGCCTGCTACCAGACTTTGGGTTGTCAACAATGTTAATAAAGGGGTTTGCTTTTTTAAAAAAGTTAATGTTTGGAAGCAGCTCCCAAAGCTACATAGTGCACAGTTTGAACATACCTTGGAAAGGAGCTGGGCACAACCCAACAGGCTGGAGCTGGGAAACTGCGGCACTCACTTGTGGGTAAGCATATGGCATCCCTGCATAAGGCTGAGAACACAGGTGGGGGGAGGGAAAGGAGAGTCAGGTGACTTGTCACACTGACCAAACAGACGGCAACAAGGTCCCCCATTAAAACAGCAGGATTGCTTAAGCCTGCTCTCAAGGGCTAGATGACCCAAAGGCCAAGGACTGCAAGGGATCCTCTCCTGCAAAAGGCAATGATGGACAACCAGTTGGACAGCTTTAAAAGAGGATCGGGCCTATTGATGGCTACTGGCCTCGACAGCTAATGGCTGGAAGAAGGAATGCTTCTGAATGCCAGTTGCTGGAAAGTGTGGGAGGGGAAAGAGCTCTTGCACACAGGCACTGTTTGTGCACTTTGCACTGGGGCATCCAGGTAGCCACTGAGAACAGGTGCCCCCATGTGAACAGGTTGCTGGGCGAGATAGGCCATTGGCCTGATCCAGCAGAGGTTCTTCTTACGTTCTTCTAAAGATCATCCAATATATAGAAGATCCCCGCTGGATTTGGTGGAAACTACCTCTGCCGAGGTAACAAACTGCTTCCCTCCAACCCAAGGCAATGGATCCTGCCAGCTCTTAATCTAGCGCTTTTGGGATTTGCACCGAAGGGTTATGCTGCACCCTCCCTATTTTGCAAATGAAGACCTGACACTGACAGAAAAGGATGAGGAAACTTAGTCAAGCCTGCTAGTCACATGCCCCTGCCTTGAGCAAACCAGGGAACAGAGCATGATGTTGTGGCTCACCTGGCAGCCTATGAAAGAACCTTTCCCTGCCTACAAAAGACTCCTTACCTGACAGTTTTGAGGGGTTCTTGTAAGGGGTGGGTGTGGCTGGGGGGCAGCAGGCGCCTGGAGCCCTGACACAGCTGGAGGAGGAGCTAGGAAGAAAGCAGAGGCATCAGCGTTGCCTATCTCAATACAAGCAGTCCATCATCATCATCATCATCATCATCATCATCATCATCATCATCATCAACATCAAAATGTTTGTCTCTATTTCCACCCAAAGGAGCCCAGAGGAGTCAGCACACAAACAGATCAATTCAAGCATCTAAACACAATGCCAGTGACAGATGCAGACTCTGCTCAAGCTGATCTACAGCAAATGAAGGACACTGCTCCCCCATCCCCACACATCCAGATTTCCTCCGCTTTCCATGCACAATCATCATGCTGGCTTCTGGGTTGTGTCCAACTAAATTCTACTGAGTAGAGCCACTGCACTCAAGAAGAACCCTGCCAGATCAGGCCAGTGGCCCATCTAGTCTGGCACCCTCTTCTCACAGTGGTCAACCAGGTGCCCCCATGGGAAGCCTGCAAACAGCACCTGAGCGCAAGAGCCCTCTCCCCTCCTGCGGTTTCCAGCCACTGACAGCCCTCTCCTCCATGAACTTGCCTAACCCTCTTTTGAAGCCACCCAAAGTTGATGACCATCACCAAGGCACAACAAGGGAACACACTTTTTACCTTGCATTGCCCACTGAGGAGGGGCCATTGGACGGTAGTCGTTCGGACAGAGGGTTGAAAATTCTTGAATGGCATGCGGCTCCTGAAGAAGACAATGCACAATTAACCCTCCTGGGAAGTGGAACGGGACCCTGGAGGCTTCAAATCCCACATTAACGAGAGAGAGGCATGCCAGAACATTTGTAGCTATGGGGTTTTTTAATACGATGTAAGCCGCTTTGAGCATTGTTTTAACTTGGGAAAGGCGACATACAAACAAAATGATTGATGATCCTTACAAGGCTTTCCCTCAAATTAAGATTCAGACCCAAAAGCTGTTTGGGGTGACTACTGGATCTAGGGAGGGCAAGACCCTCAGTTTCATGCAAAAGGCCCCAGGTTTGATACCCGGTAGGCAGGGAATGCCCCCTGTCTGAAACCATGGAGAAGCAGGTAGGTTTGTAATTAACTAGAAAAAGGGCCCTCCCCTCCTTCACTGCCAGTCAGTGTAGACAGTAGGGAGCTAGGTGGATGAGCAGTCTCATCCTGCCAACCTACCTGAATTTCAGCAACAGCCAACACACACAAACCCCACTGAAAAGAACCTGGGAATTGAAGCTAACACACCTCTACCGCCTTGTCAGCTGAGTCTTGCTGGGGTGCAAATGTGCTGGAGGGGACAGGTAGCATAGGCTGACCCATCTTCGCCATACGGGAAATCAGTTTCACTTTTGTTACATCAGGATTCTGTCCAGGGAAAGAGAAAGGGGGGCGAGAAGAGAAGATGAGAAATTATATAATTGGCCATCCAGGCTTTTCAGAAACGAAGTTATTGTTTGCCGGAATATGACATCAGGCTATAAAACAGGGAGGGTGATTGAGGGGACCTTCCATCTACATGTTGTCGGCTACAACTCCCCAAGCCAAAGTGACCTCATTGCCCAGCTAAGGAAAATAAAAGTGGTTTACAAGCTCATACAACAGCTTAAATTGCATTTAGATTTCCAATCTTCCTGCATTAGAAATCTTCATGGTTTCTTAAAAAAAGAGAGAGATTCCTCTTCCCATATCATGGGATGCATCCAGTAAAACAACCTCTCATACCCTTTCAAAGCCTAACAATGGGATTTCAAAATGGTGGTGAGGGCTGTCACATCCCCTGGACAGGATTAAGCCAAGGGGACCAGAGCCCAAGCAAGAATCCCCTAAGAGAAAGCAGCTGGTTTGTCCTTCTCCCACCCCCCGCCCCACCCTGTGGCTTCCTTTGTGTGCCTGACAATGCATGTCAGATGCTCATTACTTAGGGGTTAGTTGAGGGCATATCAACCAGCTGAAAATGACGGCAGAACTGAGATTAATTCAACAGAGTAAATAATTTTTGATGGGTGTAAAAGTGGAAAACTGATTTGAATGGTATACTAAAATATGCCAGAATGTATAATATATAAAATGAACCATGGAAGGAAAAGAAGGGAAATGACTGGATATTTTACAGTTTGTAAAATGTTTATTTTGAAATGTAAAATAGAAAACTTTATAAAAATTATTATAGAAAAGGGCACTGCAACCTTCACCAACCTGGGGCCCTATAGGTGTAATGGACTACAACTACCATCAACCGCCAGCCAGCATGCCCTCTGATAGGAAACGGGAATAAAATACACAGATAATCAACTAAGATGTTGTAAACATGCACACCCATTGGGGGGGAAATTACATTTATAGAACCTTCCAATGTGGGGTTTTTTTCCCTCATGAACACACCATTTCCTTGCTACATTTTCACTCTAAAACTATTAATGAAAGAACCTTAAAACTGCATTATTATTATTATTATTTTTAAAAACCCGCTTAGAAACCCATCTCAGAAGTCTATGCAAGCACAATATCAAATGTTAATTACTCGTAGTCACTGATGATATGCTTTTCCTGTGACACACCGTATTTTTCCATTTATAAGACTAGGTTTTTTCTCTTAAAAATATCGTCAAAAATTAGGGGGGATCTTATACATGGATACATCTTCCCCCATTTTCTTAAAACATGGAAGCGTCCTATAGACGGAAAAATACTGTATCTTTATTACATGGGAGCTTTTATTTAAAAAAATGTATTACAGGATCAACAGGGAAATGTAACCTGAGTTTCTCAAAAAATGCTCACCAATAAGGATCCCTCTCTCTATGGGAGGACTAAGTTACTTCTCATTGCTTTGGTCACATTCAACAGGAACTATACAATCAAATAGGCAGATCTGGCTCCAGTGGGGACTTACCGCTAGTTGTTCACTAATAGAGCTTGATTTGGCACGCACAGCTGGCTCCCTGCAGTATGGAAGGAAGGGAGTTAACAAACCTGAGCACAGTAGGAAGGGTCTGTTAAGGGGTAGGATACTCAACTGGCCTTTGGGACTCTGCCTCGGCCAAGCCCCTCACCTACCCCACCTCATGAACTCCCCAAGGGAGCTTGAGCCTGGCTGGAATGTGTCCTTGAACTGTGACAGTGCACCTTGCTTCCCTGGACAGGGAGAGGTGTGTGCAGAAAGAAGCCCCACATGGTGTATTTTCTGGTTGCACAGAAGGCAGGAGCAGCATCTGTTGCTCTGTCCACTGGAGCCCCAGCCCAGCCCTGGAATGTGGAACCTGCCAGGTTGTCTATGAGACAAGGTGGCCCTCAGGATTCTTTGGAGGAAGCCACAGCTGTTGAAAATGGCATGGCACTATTTGGAACGTATGATTTATTGTGATTTATTGAATTTGTATACAGGATTTCATCCGTAGATCCCAAGGTGGTACAGTGCAGATGGGGCCTGAGTTATGCAGCTGAGGTTATGCAGAGTTAGGATGGGACACCTGGGAGAATAGAAGGCTTAAAAGCTAAGAGCACCCTCAATTTATTTCTCACCCTGGCTTTGGAGCGGGAGTAGGAGGAGTCAGCCAGGCTGGGTCTGTAGCGGGGCTTTCTGATTGTGGTGCTGGTGAAGGTGTGAGGGAGTCCCTGGGGCCCAGGCTCTGTCCGGCTGAGTCAGCGCCCTTTGCAAACCTCACCTAAGGGAGCAAAAAAGAGGCATCATGGAGTCTGGTCAAGGCAACCACTGCCTCCATTTGTAGAACTTTATCCAGGCAGTAGACCGACCACCCAACAACCTTCTGAGGTTCTCTTGGTTGCTAACACGTTGGGAGGAAGACACACTCACCCGTTTGACTTCCACCTCAAAGGCCAGAGTTGAGTCCGGAGGAATGCGTTCAGCTTCTCCAGAAGACCCGTAAGCCAATGCTGGCGGGATGAGGAGGAACCGCCTGCCTCCTCTCTTCATGCCAATCATCCCATCTTCCCAGGCCTTCAAGTTCCAGAAATGGAGAACCAAGCAGAAAACAAGTTTGGGTGACCGCCTTAGCTAAGTGCCAGAACCACACAGCCTTCGCCAACCTGACGTCGTCCAGATACCTTGGACTCCGACTCCAATCAGCAGGCGCTGGCTGGGGATGATGGGAGTTGGTGTCCACAGGATCTGTGTGTGCGTTTGTCAGGTTGGTAAAGGCTGGTCGAGAGTAGGGCACAGGAATACTGACAGTTCTCTTGGACTCTTGAGGACAGTACTGTAGTTTAAAGCAGGGATGAAAACCATTCCCTCCGGGGCAAGCTTCTTGGTGGGGAGGAGCATGCCAGGAGTGGGGGGGGGGCAAGAGGGGAAAGTGGGAGGGGCAACAAATGTAATTTTTTCCCTTTGTACAATAGGCTACCTTAGACACCCACTCACACTCCCCCCTCTGTCTCTCATCCAGGACAGCAAGAGGCAACACTGGAGGTCCAGGACTGTTTTGGTCCAGGCCACAAAGCAGGCCTCCCACTCCAGCAGATCCTGGCAGGCGTAGACAAGCTGGGACAGCTACCTGCCTGCGGTTCTTAAGGAAGCCATTTGATCAGGGTTTGAGCTCAAAAAACATCACTGCTATTCAGCCTTCCACACAGCCCGGGCTGCTGAACTCTGCTTAGATGTGGAAGTGGAAGAAAGAATCCTTGCACTGCGGTGGGAAGATAGCACCATCTTACCTTGATGACTTTGCCAGAGCCTAGCTTCAGCCGGAGCAGCTTCTCTTTATTTACATTTGAGTCGAAAACCTGTTCCAAAAGTGGAAGGACAATGGGGTGAAATTACTTTTAATGCAGAAGGTAATAGGTTCATGTTCCGCTACTCCAGTTGCTGAGCCAACAGCAATGAGTATCGAAGGACGGGGCACAGCTCAGGGACACAGCACCTGTTTTGCAGGCAGAAGGTTCCAGGTTCAAGCCTGGCAACTCCAAGTAGGTCAGGGAAGGGCTTTTGCTTGAAAGCCTGGAGAGCTACTGCCACTCAATGTGGGCGATGCCAACCTAGACCAGTGGCCTGATGTAGTGCAAGGCAGCTTTCTATATTGAATCCCCTACCTAGCGGTGCCTCCCATGTTGCAGATTGGGTAAAATGAGGTTGAGAAATAGGATCTAGTCCTTGGAGACAGGTGTAGCTTAGGGCCTAACAGCATGTGCTTACCAGGAAGAAGGTCCTGGGTTCCCTCCCCAGCATCCCCAGTTGAGAAAGGGCGGCAAGGCTGGGCAAGGCCCCACCTCTGGAGAGCAGCCAATGCAACCCCCATGGAAAAGCACTGGCTAGAGCTCATTGGGGTTGGGGTCAAATGCACATTGAGCTGTGAAGCAAGCTGGGTGAACCTCACCAAGTCCCTCTCCTGTTTCAGGAGGAATTTCCTTGCAATGTTATTGAAAGGCAAAAAGACGGGTTGTGGGAGAAAAGGGCTGTATGCAAACTATAAACCAGGAGTGGGAAAGCTGTGGCCATGAAGTGCTGCTAGAGACTTCAACTCCCATCATCCCCAGCACCTGGAGGATGCCACAGAAGTGCCCCATATGCAGTATAAAAACAGTATCAGTCAACCCCTCTGCCAGGTCTCACCTGCCCAAGACTACCGTTCTGGAACAGCCAGCCTGTAAAAGTGATCTCCAGGGCATCTCCAGTCGCCACACCTTGGCCGTCTCCGAGAACAAGATCCTGGCACAGCACTGAGTCAGGAGATTGGCTGCTGTTATACTTGGCAATGCACAGCTGCAAGGAGGAAGAACCAAGCCCTTTGTGTCATTAGCCTGCATTGTCATCCGCACCTATGCAATCTGGCCCAGCGCAGCACTGGCTGAAGACCCCAGGGGCCTGAAAAGGCCCTAACTGGCTACACCATTATTTCTTGCCCTCCCTGGATGCTTCTTAGTGGTTGGCAGAGAAAGCTTCTAGTGACTAATGCAAGAGAGCTGAGCTCCCGCAAACACTAGTTCAGTGTCTGCAGGAGAGCCACCCCCCACCCCACAATGCAATGCACGCCTCTGGCACCTGCTTGCTGAAGTCCACAGCCGCCATTTCTGATTCAAACATGATGGACCAATTCTGCCTCTGATCATCATAAAATGTACAGTAGTTGTTGGGCTGCACCTGCGGAAAGAGAAAAGAGGAAGTGGAATTCTGAGCAGCAGACAGCCTCTGCTCCAAACAACTTTCTTCCTGATGAGTCTTGCTAAAGACTTTGGGTTGTGTCCCAATGTTAGCCCTACTCAGAACAGACCCATGAAAATTGATGGACATGATGAATTTGGTGCATTAATTTCAGTGAGTCTACTCTAAGTACACACACAAAACATCAACGTATGTAGTGTGTCATGTTTAGAAATGGAAAAATGCAGAGGAAGAAGCAGAGCAAGTTGGGCTGGAAGGAATGGCCACAGGTGGGGATTCAACTTCTGTACTAAATAAAATTTTTGAAAAATTGGAAGGCCTGAGTAAGCAAGTGGCTGAACAATCATCTAAAATTGACTGAAACACAGTCAGTGTCAACAATTTGACTCAACAAGTTAGTTTAAATGCACAATCAATTGGGAAACTATTGGAAGCCACTACAGAAAACCGTAAAGTAGCTGAAGAGGCTAAACAGAAAGCAGAGGCCGTACAGGAGGAAATCAAACCTATGCGCAAGCAGATTGATGAACATCAGGCATATCTGTCTATGATAGATTTAAAAAGTAAGGAAAATAATTTGAGACTGAGGTCAGTTCCAGAACCTGAAAAAGGAGACTTAACGGAATATTTGACAAAAGAATTTACAAAATTTTGGCCTTTGGAAGAAGACAAAGACTTTAAAATTGTAAGTGCATTCAGACTTGGGAAAGGAGGGAAGAAGGTCAAATTTAGGGACTGTTTGATCTCTCTCAGAACGAAGGCAGAAAGAGACAAGATACTGAGTGCACATTTTCAAAAGACCCTTGAAATTCAGGATTTGAGAGTGGAGATCTACAAGGATATCCCGAAATACTTACTGGAACTTAGATCTAGCTACGGAGACTTGGTGAAACTACTGAGAAGCAACAGAATTGTTTTCAGGTGTGAGTTCCCCCAGGGACTATCCTTTACCCTCAGGGGGAAGAAAGTTAAAATTAAAACAGCTGAAGACAAGGAAAAATTCTTGAGTGACTATATGAGAAAAAGAAGGAGACACATGGAGATTGCAGAGTTTTGAGAAACTAAAAGACAAAGTGCGAGATTGGTTACATTATCGTCAAATTAGGGAGGTCTTTAATATGGACAAAAAAACAGGTTTCCAGGTGGAAAAATCGAAATTAGAAACAGAACTGTTAGAACCTAAAACTAAGGTACTTTCAAGAATGTATAACTTGCTGTTAAAATGGAACACTCAGGATGAAACGGTCAAATCAGCTATGATAAAGTGGGCGCAAGACATTGGCTATAATATTGTGTTTGCTGACTGGGAACGGTTATGGACCACTGGCGTGAAATTCACGGCATGTAATGCCTTGAAAGAAAATATTATGAAAATGATATACAGGTGGTACATGACCCCAGTCAAGCTTGCAAAAATATATCATTTGCCAGATAATAAGTGTTGGAAATGTAAAGAAACTGAGGGAACATTCTTTCACCTTTGGTGGACGTGCCCAAAGGTTAAGGCTTTCTGGGAAATGATCTATAATGAACTGAAAAAGGTATTTAAGTATACCTTCCCTAAGAAACCAGAGGCCTTCCTTTTGGGCATTGTTGGCCAAATGGTGCCAAAGAAGGACAGAACTTTCTTTATGTATGCAGTAACAGCAGCAAGAATACTCATCGCAAAACATTGGAAGACACAAGATTTGCCCACGCTGGAAGAATGGCAGATGCAATTGATAGACTATATGGAATTGGCAGAAATGACTGGCAGAATCTGAGACCTGGGAGAAGAGCTGGTGGAAGAGGACTGGAAGAAATTTAAAGATTACTTGCAAAAGTACTGCAAATTGTATGAATGTTAGAATGCAGGATATAAAGATAATATGGTATTAGTGATATAGTTGAAAGGAGTATGTAAAAAATGGTTTATAAGAACAAAGGTGAAGCCAGAATAATATTATGTCAAACTTACATAAATTGATAAATAAAGGGAAAATTGGAGACATAATAGTTGAAATGTATAATACAAAATAAGTTTTGAAAGAAGGTGAGGCATTGCTGAATAAGATTGTGTAAAAAGGAACACAGAAAAGGGAGATGTGAGGGAGTCTGGAAGGAGGGTTATGAGAATAATAACTAAGAAAATGGTTTTTTTATGTCTTTTCTATGTCTTTTTTCTTCTATTTTTTATGGTGGGTTTTTTATTGTATTTTTCTGTTTTTTCTTTTATTGATTGTGATGGTGTTCTTTCTTTTTTCCTACCCTGTCTTGAGTGTGATGTTTGTTTTATTGCCTAAAACTTTAATAAATATCTTTAAAAAAAAAAAGAAATGGAAAAATGCTATAGGATTTCAGGGTGGAGGGCTACCCCAAGGGATGTTAGCTACAGTAGGACAGAGGGCAGAATGTCATCTACTTTACTTTGTTACCTCTAGGTAAGCGTTTTAACCATAGAGGGGCCCCCTTGGTTCTAACACTACTCAAATCTAATGGGTTGCAACAAGCATTAGCCCTACTCAAAGCAGACCCACTGAAATTAATTGACCACAGCTGAGACCTCATATGCAATGTGCATTTCAAACAATATCATACCACCAAAGAGTCCTAGGAATTGCAGTTTGCAAAGAGTGCTGAAATGTTGTTGGGAGATGCCCCTACTCCCCTCACCACAGGGTTACAATCCCCCCCAGTTCTGTACGAAGAGGGACTGACCGTTGAAACATGAAGATCGCTGGGTGTGACCTTGGGCCAATCACTGCTTCTCAGCCTCACCTCCCCCCACAGAGTGTTTGTGGGGATTAAATGAGGCAAAAAGAGAACCACACATACCACCTTGAGAAAAAGGAGGCATAGAAATGCAAAAAATAAGCAAAAAGGCAGACCATTAGGTTTCCAGGATTTTTTTTGCATCAATTATTTTTGCTGACCTTCTGGATGCACAATACCTGAGCTTATGCCGAGTGATTTCTATTACTACATGAGAGATCTCAAGGCAGCCCCACAGGGTTCCTAGAAGGTCTGCTGTCCAGGAGCCAAGCAGCTCCACACTTCCTCAGCTTCAGCAAGATGCGTTGCATCGTGTAACCTCAGCCTATGCCATGGTCCTTGCAGGTCTTAACATCAAAGCTTACCGTGAATACAAACCAGGCATCAATCCTGGCGGTTGCAATCTGCTGCTGCTTGCTGATGTAAAGAAGCACTCTGTACTGGATTCCACAAGAGATAGAAGGACAGAAGAAAACAGGAGCAAAAGTGAGGAATCAAAAACTACGGGTCTGGCTGTTTTCAAAAGCACCTGGAGCTGTTCTTATACCATGTAGCATTTCCACAGCACCCCAACACCCAAATGACACATTAACATACAAATACATCAGAGGTGTTCATTGTAGGAATTGCTTTGGTTGCAGGCGCTTGGCTTAATTACATGTGGAGTGACTTCGTTACAATGGAGCAGGCGTGGGGAGCCTTTGGTGCTGAGCTACAACACCCATTGGCTCTTGCCAGCATGGCCAGTGGAGAGGGATGATGGGAGCTGTCATTCAGGGACATCTGGAGGACCAAAGGCTCCCTACACCTGGAGAAACCAAGGGGTGAGATCTGTCCTTTTCCGCCCAATTAGCTAAACGAGAATGACATCCCAGTGTTTTATCCTGTCCCCACCACCCTCACCTGCAACAGCGCAGAAGGACAAGGCAATCATACCAGAGTCTTCCTGGAATAAACACATATGTTTCCTGACATATTTTATCAGTTGATTGTAAAACACCTGTGAATCCTTTCACAGCAAAGTGGGGCAGAACAAACCACTGAAGAGCTACTGACTGAGCTGAAAAGGACAGAGGCTGGAAAAACTGAATCCCTTTTCCAACATAAGCTGCTGAAACCCCCTTCCTTTTTTGAGTGTGGTGGGAACCTTTATTGATTTTTCAAGCCACGACAAAGTTACTGTCTCACTTCCCTCTATCCACTCTGCACACAATATCCCCTAGGCCCTTCTTTAGTCAAGATTCTAGTCCACATTCTAGTTCTAGTTAAATAAGAGCACAAGGAGCTGCCTCAGACTGAATCAAGTCACTGGTTTCTCTAGCTCAGGACTGCCTACTCTGACCGGCAGCAGTGTCCCCAGCCCTACCCAGAGGAGCTAGCGATTGGATTTGGGAGCTTCTGTCTGCAAAGTGGATGCTGTGTTGCTGAGTGACAGCCCCTTCCCTGCTGAGAATACTTTTTGTAGAGAAGTGAGGTCAGAATAAGAAAAATGGGAGCTATAACCCTTGTAAGCTGATTGGGCAGAAAGAGACAGGAGCCAAAACAGCACCTTTGCTTTTTCCAGAGTAAGACACCGTCAGGAAACCAGGATTCAGACAAAGGGAAGCATTTCCTTAGCCCAACCTACATCAACCCGGTATCCTCCAGATGTTTAGGACCGACAGCAGCTGTGGTCCCAAACATCTGGAGGACAGCAGGATGAATGACAGAAGGCCAGGCTACTTCAAGACACCACACCTCCTCCTCTTACCTCCTTGGTTGCATTGCTGCCCACTACAGCTGCTCCATACTTGCCATGTTTCACATATTTCCCATTGGTACTGGAATGAGAAGAGAACACCTCTTAGCTTCCCACAATTGTTGCCACCATGCCAACCCCATGGGTTATATTAAGCAGCTCTTTACAAAGACTTCCCAGGGGTTGTTTAACTCCCATCAGCCCAGGCCATCTGGCCAACGGTGAGGGGCGATGTGGGGGGTGGGCGGTAGCAGCCCAGCAACATTTTATCAGCCCACAAGCTCCCCATCCCAGGAGGTCTCTATCCTCATTTCAGTTCGGTGTTGGCTAGTGCCTCATTGGGGTGAATGCAGGGAGCCCAACTCTAGGTGGCACCAGAGCCAACGACAAGAAGGGCCAGCTAAGTCTAGGGCTGTCCCCATCCTCATCCCTGCTGTGCTCTACATGGCAGCATGGAGACTGAGGGGGAAGAGGAAGCTGACAGGAAGTCCTGCCCTCTGGATCGGTTGGATGTAAGAAGGCAGGCAGGTGGGAGCCAGCTGAGGGCAGAATGAGGGGGTGCCGTCATACTGGACCTGCTTTCACTGGTATGGCATAAGGCAATTGAGCCAGCACATCAAGCCAGAGTCAATGACATCCACAGCCTGATTGGCTGGAAGTAAAAAAACAACAACAGGCAGGTGGGGGCAGGCTGAGGTTGGGGAGGCGGTGCCCCATTTGCCCTATTCGACCACCCCCAACTGTTGTTCAGTTCCACCTCTTTCCGAAGAAGCCAGGCAAGATCGAGAGATGATTGCAAAAGATGTGAGCACAGGACTTGGGTAGCAAGAACACACTGCAGCTCATCCCCTCTGCTGTAGTACTCACAACAAATATGCATGAACAGCTGTAGCGAAGAAGACTGAATGCACTGCTGCAGTGGGCGCAGGAGCAGCAGCAGCAGCGGGCACAGCAGTGGGTGCAGCAGCAGCAGCAGCTGCAGGAGGATGCTTCTGGGTGGGCAGACCTGCAGCTGGAGCAGCACATGAGAAGGGTAAGTGCTCTTTTGCAAACAGAACATTGCTTGCAAACATCAGGCCAAGTTAGCTCCCTTGTCTTGGGACCAAGCCAGTTGCTCAGATTAATGAAAAACAGGAAGTTGCCTTGTATGGCGTCAAACCACTGGGTCCATCTACCTCAGTGTGGTGACTACAGACCACCAGCACCTTTCTGGGGCCCCAGGTCAGGGGTCTCTCCCCAGCACTACTCGGGAGTTGACCAACCCAGTTGATTCTGTGGGGCTTCAGAACCAAAGGTTGGACTAGATGGGCCACTGCCCTGGTCCACAAGGGCTTGTCTTATGTTCCTAGGCATTGTGAACAGTTTACTTACCGGTAGCTGGTTGACCTTTTTTAGGCTGCTTGGGTGGCATGTATTGGAAGAGCACATTTCCAGATTCTGTAGCTGTCTGATCCTGTCCAAAGAGAGAGGCCAGCCTGGTCCTGGGCAGAGAGAAAAGTAACCATGCACTTCATTCACAGATGCTCATGTTTCACTGCAGGTTGGCAATTTTGTTGCAGCCTTCCCCAAAGACCAGAGGGTAATGGATTCAAAAACTAGAAACCAGTCAGTGATTAGGATGTTGGCCACCCCACTGGGTCATAATGCTTGCCGAGGGGAGCTTTGCCCAGTCTCTCTTGGGGTAACCAGCCTGGAAGAGCTGTTGTAAGAAATTAATGCACACAACTAAAGGAGTAGACACATTGTGGGTCTTCTCTAAGCAGAACTTAGTTGGAGGCAATCCCTTCTTTTTCCTATCAAGTTTCTATAACCTCTCTTAAGAACAAAAAAAAGCCTGCAGGATCTGGCCAAAGGCCCAGCGAATCCAGCATTCTGTTCTTACAGTAGCCAACAGAACCCAAGCACAAGAGGCCTCTCCCCTCCTGTGGTCTCCAGCAACAGTTGTTCAGAAGCCCTGCTGCCGCCAACATGGTGAGCATAGCCACCATCACTAGCCTTCTCCTCCCTGAATTTTTCTAATCCTCTTTTAAAGTCACCCAAGTTGATGGCCATTCCTTCCTCCTGCGGGAGAGTTCTGTAGTTTAACTGTGCATGGTGTGAGAAAGTACTTTCTTTTGCCTTTCCTGAAGGTCTTCCAACATTCAGCTTCATCGGATGTTCACAAGAGGGAGATAAATTGTTCCCTATCCACTTTCTCCATGCCATGCCTAATTTGATAAACTTCTATCATATTATCTCTTACTTGCTTTTACTAAACTACAAAGTCCCTAAAACTGAAAAGACTGCTGCCAAATTAGTGCACCCAGGCTTTTATAGAACCTAGTAAACAAAACAAAAATTTAAAGGAATCCATTATTGCAAAGATACAAGCCCTGCCCTTGCAGTTTACCCTTTCCCCACACAGGTAGATTCATAGCCAGGAAGGTGGGGAGAGGGAATTAACCTGGCTGAACACAAGTGGTTTTCCCTACAGACATTCAGAAGTATCTCATCTCAGGGTTGTTCTAGGAGCAGAAACATACCAGTTACCCCACATCCTAGCCCACTTCCCTGCACTCCTGAGAGCTAGAAACTTGCAGATTAAAACAAACAAACAAACAAACAAACAAACAAACAAACAAACAAACAAACACTAAGACCAAGTATCTTCAAACATTAAATTTACAGACTTAGCCCCAAACTCCATGCTATACTGAACAGCAAGCAAAAATATCCAAGGGGTGAAGTGCCCATTTTAAATGCCTGACAGCACCCCAAACAGCTGGTCCGGATGAAACAAACCCGTGGACTGCCTGCCAAAGGTACTCTGTTCGCCCTGGGTCTGACATTGCTGTTGAAGTGCCCCAGTCGGTTCTCCAGCTCCCACCCATTCAATGTTGGCTGCTGTTTTCTCGTGTCATTACCCCTCCCCTCTCTTTTCCATCCTGAAGCATCAGCAAAGTAAGGCGTGGGCAGTGGGGGGTGAATTAAACAGCTAAGGTTTCCAAAGGCAATTCTGCGTTTGCACAACAGCAATCCTCTGGAATGGCTGCATGACCTTGTGAGAGATACGAAAATCCATCCCGTGTCATCCCTAAGCAGTTCTTCTAGGATTCCAGCTAGAGAAAAACCACAAGTGGCAACATGCATGTTTAAGGGGCTCCCAAAAGAAGCGAGCGGAACAGAGATTGTGAGCTTGGCTTCTCCTTCTGGGGAGAGTGACATTCTGTGATGACATAGTAGATCCAGCTCACCCCACTCACGTGCCTACTCAGTTCCACTTGGAGGCAGGGAGAGCAAACTAAAGAAGAGGAAGTAAAACAGGAATTGAAGTTGGCAGGACCCTCAAAGCATTTCTTTCTTTATACACCACAACCCCCTTGCCATAGCAGCAAACAAGTGTGTGATATATATAAAAAATACAATTAAAACTTAAATAAAAATAGAGAAACTGTTAAAAACATCTAAAAGCATAACAAAGCATCTAAAACCAATTTAAGAACAGGAATCCAATCATGTGCCTGGAGAGGCTTGTTAAAACAGAAGCGTTTTCAGCAGGCATGAAAAAGAGGAGTGATAGTGCCTGCCTAATGTCAACAGGCAGGGAGTTCCAAAGTTTGGGTGCTGCCACACTAAAAGAAATGACTCCCTAGTGACAGATGGTACACGCATGGCCCTTGCCGAAGTGCAAGTTCCACAGGTCGAAAGGGATTAAACTGACAAGTACTGCATGGAGTACAGAAATGCCTTAAGTAATCTGGGACTTCAGCAGTGCCAAGATAGGATTTTCCTGTATCTCACAGGCTCTCTTTCCCATGGCCTCTCTAAACTAAAGTAGGGGATGAGAAACTTTTTCAGACAAAGGACCTCATTCCCCTGTGGGCAACCTTTCAGGGGCCACATAATAGTTGTGGGTGGGATCAGGGGCCAAAGTGCGACTCTTACCTTACTGCACTGGTCAACTTTTTATTTTTATGTTCAATCTTTATGCATAATTTATGCTGCAACCTGTATTTGGTTGCCTTATTAATACATCTGAAATTTGACTCTGCACATGAGGCTACATCCCATCCATGCAAAAGTCAGAGGTTTCCACACACCCCTCTCTCTATTTTCTCCATCTAGGGAAGCAAGAGGCACCATCACAGTTCAAGAAAACATTCCACACAAGCAAAAGCACCTGAGGTGTGCGCAGGGCAGGGCCAGTCAGAAGAGTAAACCAGGGAGTGGGCATCACCTTGGTAAAGGCCTGAAGAACTGAATTCCAAAGGATCTCTCTGCTACCACATTTGTACATTAACTGAACTGGTGATGACTGGTTTCCATTGGGACTGGTGGGGTGGAAGGCTGGGAGCCCAACAGTAGGAGGAGGCAGAGCCAGGAAAGTCTGGTGGTGTTGTCCCCATCCTCTTCCTTCCTGCTGAATTCTACAGTGGGAAAACTAGGGCCACCCCTTGGACTGGTGGGCATAGACAAGAAGGGACGCAGGTGGGAGCTGGCTAAGGGAAGACTGAAGTTGATGGGGCAGTGTCCCATATGCCCTAAAACAGCAGCCTCTGATGCTTCCCAAGGGCTTAAAAGTTTGACACTGTTACTCAGAATCATGACATTTTCCCTACTTGCGCACCGAAAGCACTCAAAAGAGCAGTTCTTTCCCCCTTAAAAATTGGCATCAATATTCAACCAGGCATTAATCACGTTTTCAAGCTTCTCTTCATATCCTTCAAGGCTAGATAGTTAGATGATGATGATGATTTTGTAAAGGCACAACCTTAGGTGAAAACTCTCATAAGTGAAAGCCAAGATTCCCAATACAAATATATTAATTAAAAAAGTCCAGTAGCACCTTAGAGACCAACTAAGTTTGTTCTTGGTATAAGCTTTCATGTGCATGCACACTTCTTCAGATACACACCTAGTTGTTCTCTAAGGTGCTACTGGACATTTTTTAATTTTTTTATATATATTTTGACTGCGTCAGACCAACACGGCTACCTACCTGAATCTATTCCCAGTACAGTATTTCTCAGTTCTATGCCAAGAACTAGGCTCTGAGCGCAGTAGTGGTGCAATTGAGGAATTCACCAAGCTCCTACACCAGCATTTCCTCAGTGTTTGCCCTTCTGAATTCTTTTAGATTCCTGTTTTTTCTGAAAATCCTTCCTAAACTGGAAACTAACACCAATGATCTTTTCTATTCCTCAATGTATTGCCAATGATGATGATACAATGTTCCTTGCTGGATCAGGGTTCATTTCTACATGCCTCCTCATCCAGAAATCCACTACCACAGGAACAGCCAACAAGTCAATGAATGGCACCCCAACCTTCCTAAACCCAACTGCACTTGTTCCTTTTGTGCAATCAGTATTCACAGCTTGCTTATCTCACTGAATTCTTGCAACATTCACTCGGGGTCCAGACAGTTAACCTCCCCCATTGCCACCCTTAAGAGTTCCAAGGCAACGACAACACTCTCCAACACCATCATGTCAGCTCATGATATTGGGGGGGGGGGGATCAGCAGTTCTCCAGAAATTACTGGACTACAACTCCCACTCTCCCTGGCCTTCAGCCATGCTGGCAAGGACTGACAGAAGCTGGAGTCCAGCCATAGGTTCCTCATCTCTGCCTTATGCCCTCCTTGTGGCCCTCTGACATGGCAATGCCCATAATAATTCCTTGATAAGAGCTCTAGCCCCCTTGCTCTGGAAGAATATTCTACTGTGGGGCAATCTCTCCTTTGGAGGCACAGATTTAGGAGGAGGCAGAGCCTTCTCCCCACCAACCACCATAAGACATGAGAGGTGAAGACCCAAGGAAAATGTCATGCCTGAAAGGAAAAAGATCAGGAATGTAAGAAGCTGTCTTCTATCAAACGAGACCCTTTGTCTATCTAGCTCAGTACTGCCTACTGACTGGCCGTGGCTTTCCTGGGTTTCAAACAGGGGGCATTCCCAGCCCTCCTTGGAGATACCAGGGATTGAACTTAGGACCTTCTGCATGCAAAGCAGACACTTAATTTTGTTCCCAAAGCATTCCAAAAGAATCAACTCAGCTAATCAAAGGACTTTACCTTCAGCCTTGGGGCGGGGGGAAGCTGCAGCTTGGGGAAATGTCTTTTGCAGTAGGAAAAACAAGCTAAGTTGAGCTGCAAGAGGCGCTGCCCTGATTTAGTTTCCCAAGGAGACTGACAGACATCCCTCAAGTCAAGCTGATGCCCTTGCAGAGGATTCTCATTGCTTTGGCAGAGAAATGTGAGGTGGAAGACAATTTAGTATGTTTAGGTTTTGTATACCCTGCCTTTAGTTGTATAAAGCATTGAATTTTTGTTAGTTTACTTGTCTCTGTGGTTCCATAATAATTTGAGGGGGGGGATATATTTTTTTAAACCTCCTCAACTTGCCCAAGCACCCCAGCCCAGCTTGAAGGCCATTCCTGTGTGTGTGGTTGGACGTCTTCTTCCTAGGAACATAAGAAGTGGCCTTACACTGAGTCACATCCTTGTTCCATCTAGTTCAATTTCACCTATAGCAACAGCTCTCCAGGGTCCCAGACAGGGACCTCATCTGCACTATACATTGGAAGCACTATTATACCTCTTTATGCCCTCATGGCTTCTCCTACAAAGAATCCTGGGAACGGTAGTATGTTAAGGCTGCTGTGAGTTGTTAGGAGACCCCCTGTTCCCCTCACAGACTTACCATTCCCAGAGTTCCCTGGGAAGAGGGGCTGCAGTCACTCTGAGAATTGTGTGTGGATGCAAAAACTATTGAAAGCTGTATGATACTGCTTTAAATGTAAAGTGAAGATGAGATCAGGAAGTTTTTCCCAGACTTACCTGCAGATGCTGGGCATTGAACCCAGGACCTTCTACATGCAAAGAAGATACTTCACCACCCTGTAATGCCAGTGTTGCAAAGTGTGGGTTGCAGAGGTTGGGCCCTGCAGGAACAGAGCACTTAGCTACATGGGCTCTGGGCCTGATTCAGCAGGGTTCTCCTTATGACCTTAGCCCTTACAAGTCTGTGATGTAGACCAAGTATAGTATTCCCAATCCTATAGGAAGAAGTGACCAAAGCCTGAAAGATAGCAGATTCACTTAAATAATGTACGTACTGAATTGGGGACTTTCCAAGTGATGCCTTTTTCTCTTGCTTACTAATTATCACACCAGTTCCTGAAGCAAATTAATCAGCTACAAGTGTTAGGAAGAGTGAATTCTAGCTGACCAAGCTGCAGACCTACGTTACCCTCCAGATGAGTCGTCCTCTCATGGGGCAGTTAGGGTTCAGTGGTAACTTTATTCAGGTGGCTATATGTCACTCTGACCTTTGCTCACTGCCAGTGTTGCCAAAAACAACAGTGCAGTGCCCTTATTTTGAACACCTAAAATGTCACAGTGTAAAGGGCACTAGAAATATTTCTTAGGGTTCCTTTTGTAGAAGGAATTTAAGACCACAAAACACCTCCATTCAGTCCTGTTACTGGCACCCACTTTAGGGCAGGAGTTAGAATGCCAAATTGTGACCTGGGGGATCAGGGTGCAGATTCTCACTTGGGAGATTAAGCTCACTTTGTGACTTGGGGCCAGTCACTCTCTCTCAGTGTAACATCAGCAAAGAAGAAGTGGAAACAGAAAGTTAGAATCAGGAAATGGGAAAATATTTCACCACAGCACAGGCAACAGGCATTTGTATGCAAATCAACCCTATGTACATTCATGGGGAAGTTCAGTTGAATTCAGTGGAGTCTACCCCCAAATAAGTCTTGCTTTTTAAGAATAATCCTCCTTTCCCCATTAACCCCTGGGCCGAACTTCCTAGACCCAAACCAATACTAAAACATAATGTATTCCCTCACTCTACAAAAGGTGTGGGGTATGTTTGGCCCTCTGGATTGTAGCGCAAGTGCACTCCCATCACCAGTGGTGTAGTGGGGTTGTGGAGGTCACTATTTCTGCAGCAGGGTCCCTGCCTCCCACACCCAATCATCATGAGAGGCGAACTTTTGGAGCTAAGCCAGGGGTCTGCAACCTGCGGCTCCGGAGCCGCATGTGGCTCTTTTACACCTTTGCCGCGGCTCCGGGGCGGATACTAGCGAGGGGAGGAGGCGCATTGTGCGCCCCGACACTCCCCCACTGTGGCGGGCGCTGTACTGGCTGTGATGTCGCATGGGGGCGGTGCGTGCGTTAGTCACGCACCGTCCCGACGTCACCTTCCCGCCTGCCTGCCCGCTACATTTTAAGGGGCATGTACGCTGGTCACTGCATTGAAAGGGGGCATGTACGCTGGTCACTGTTTTGAAGGGGAGTGAAGAACACACACACACAAAAGGTAACTTGTTAATTTAACGTTTATTTCTATGAGGAGGAGTAATTCTGAGGGGTCAAACAAAGAAATAATAAAAAAGTGACAAAAAAGTTATTTTTATAATGACGAGTTTTGCGGCTCCGTTTTTTTTTCTTCGGAAATGGGTCCAAGTGGCTCTTTTTGTCTTAAAGGTTGCAGACCCCTGAGCTAAGCTAAGCATGTAAGAAACAGTGAAAACACAAGGCACTTCGGACTTCCGGGTTGGCGCGATCTGGAAATGGCGGATTCCCTCCGAGCTGCGGAGGGAATCGGCTCAACTAAGGACGGGTCTCGCCGCGCCGGCGACGCGGGGACCCTTAAAAACCGCAGGCGCTGAAGCCTGCGGACTGAAGACTCGGCGGGCACCTTAAGCGCCCCCCCCGATTCACAAAGAGCCTTTTTAAAGCCTGCAGAGAGGATACGGAGGGTGGTGTGGTGCTGAGAGTCGATCGCTACCTTGGTTGAGCGCAGCCGCGAGCCATGACTGGAGAGCGCTGATTCCCTTCCTTGAAATTCAGACTGAAAAGAATAACCCGTGAGTAAAAGGAAATTGGACTTTATGAATATTATTCCGTGAATTTGAGACGACCGGGGGGTGTACTAAAAGGAAGTCCGCACCCCCCCTTCTTGCAGACGATCTAAAGCAATGAAATAAGAACTAAGCTGGAGTGCCTACCCTTTGTGGGGTGAGTTGAAAAAGACATTAACTTCCAAGATTTGGTAAAAAGAAACTTTGAGCTGGAGAGTGGAGTGTTGAAAGCTCTCTTTCTGTGGTAAACAACCCCCCCCTCCCGGGCCCGGGAGCGTCCTGCCCTTGAGCTTGTGGAAGAGGTGCGGAGTTTGACAGCTGTCAAAGCTGTCAAACGGACAGTTTAAGTGGAAAAATTGTTATTCAAGATCTCTCTGGTTTAAAATGAGTTACAATTGAGTTAAAATTGTTGGAAACAAAGTAATAACAATGAGTTGGAGGATTGTTGGAGAGATTACCAAGTAACCAGATTCCCTCTAGGGGGAAGTCTGTGAAATTACAATGGCTGTGGATGGAAAGTTACTGGTGGAAATCGAAAGAATGTTTCATTTGGTGGGAATCTTACAAGAGCAGAGTTTAGCTATGAATAAACAACTCATGACCTTGACTTCTGGAACAAGCAGCTCTGCTGAATGTATTGAGGACCTGGATGAGAAAGAATCCACAGCTGAATTGGAAATGATATCTAAAGAAGCGGAAGAGACTAAACAAGAAGAAGAGAAAGTAAAGTTGGAAAGCACCAACCAGGAGTTGGCATCTGTGGAATATAAACAAGGAGACCTTTGGATTACATCTACCACAAATCTGCGAAAGATGCAAAAGATGATGGAGGAAGCCCCGGGAGTTTATGGAATACAGGAACTTAAAATAAAGAAATATGAGGGGGGCCTCCACTTTGATTTTGACTCTGAAGATGCAGATTTTGTGGAAATTTTCCAGCAGTTGCTTTCAAATGTTCTTGTGGGAAGAGAAAATGGTTGGATGGTGACAGAATTTTTTCGAGATTCGACGGCCGACATAAAGGATTACCAACAAGACCGGCGGAGAGGGGCTGAAAGAGATTTGAAAGCCTCGGACGTGAGGAACCCAGGCTGAGAACTGATATTGTGGACATGTATTGGGAAGGGACGAAAACCGGGGATGGGAGGGAGGGAAGAATAGAATTCTAAAAACACTCAAGACCTTTGGGTTTGGTTAATATGACTTTTATTTAAGACAAATTGGGAAATCAATGGAAGAGAATCTGAGTCCAACTTAGGAAAATTTATTTTATTTGTATTTATAAATTTTAAGATGATTAAGAAGAGAAATACCAATTTGCTGACACAATTTTGGGAAGTGGGATGCATGAAGGGGGGTGGGGGGAAGTCTGGGAACAAGGTTAAGAAAGTAGGATTTTCTGAAACTATACATGTTTTTGTCTTTGTCTTTTTTGTGTGTATTTGTCTTTATAAAAGGTGAAAAGCCAATAAAAATTTCTATTAAAAAAAAAGAAAACACAAGGCACTTCGGTTTCAGCTCAATGCTGGCTCTGCTCAGAGTAGGTCCACTGAAATGGGTGGGCATAACCAACGCATAGCTTAGTCGGATGCAAGCCAGTGCCTCCCATTTCATCCTTAGCTGGACGAAACCCCGCCCATTTCATCCTCACCAGCTGGCTCAAAGACGCCTAGCTCAGCTGAACTTCGCTTCTCTCTCAGCGCCTAACAGCACGTATTTGCAGACAAAGCTCTCTGCATATGCTAGGAATCACCCTTCGCAAGCCTGCACCCACCCACCCCAGCCCCACATGCAGCCCCAGAACCACATACAGCTTTAGTCCCACATGCTGCCCCAGCCCCACACCCACCCCAGCCCCACATGTTGCCCCAACCCCACATGCTGCCCCAGCCCACATACAGCCCCAGCCCCACATGCAGCACCAGCCCCACATACAGCTATGGTCCCCTCACACAGCCCCGCCCCCTCACGCGGACCCAAAGACACCCGCACACCCCGCATCTCCCCCCACGCAGAGAGGCGCCGCATTCTCACCCTCCCGTCGGAAGCTGGAAGGCCTCGTCTTCTTCATCCATGTCCCCCGACATCCTGACGGCCCCTCGCTCCCCGCGCCCCTCGGCTAAGCCCAAGCCGGGAGGCGAGAGCCGCAAAGCGCGCGGCTGCAACTTCTCTGCCACGGCTCAAGCGCGGGGCTGCGGAAGCGAAACTAGCAAGCCAAAGCGGCCGGCGGCACGTGATCACGGCCAAGCATTTACCGGTCACCAAGCGGCCCAAACTTCCAGGCGGAAGAAAGAAACGTGTCCACAGGGGCGCTCGCGAGCCGCTGCCGTGATTTTAGCGCCGGGGCTCTTATGTTTGACGGAAAGGGAGGGGGACACGGCTGGACCAATGGGAAGCTGGTTTCTGGGAGAGGGAGGCGGGAAGGCGGGTGACGCTCGCTCGATGCTGGCCAATGAGGTGGCGCCTCCGTTCGCCGGGCGAAGAAGGGACACGTCTGAGGAGGTCGAGGGAAGGAGGAGAAGGCGAGGAAGGCGCAGGTAGGCGGCGATCAGAGGGAGCGAGTGCGAGGGTTCCGGTGCCAGCGCCTCACGGGGGGGGGGGGGAGGCTGAGGGCATAGCTGTCAACCTTCCCTTTTTTTGCGGCAAATTCCCTTATTCCAGCGCCGCTTCCCGCTGCTGTCCCGGATTGTTCGATATCCCGTAGACTGTCCCCGGGACAGGTGAGGCTGCTGATCCCTTATTTTCAATTCTGAAAGTTGACAGCTATGGCTGAGGGAGGTGGACGAGGAGGTAGGGAACGGAGATAACTGGAAGCAGTTCCGTTTTTATATGTGTTCATATATCTATATGGTAATCTTGAAAAATAATAAAATAAATATGATCGTTACCTCAAGAATAATGAATAAATCCTAAATGACAGAGGAGCAACGGGAACGCAGGGAGCATGGGGGCCTGAGGGTGAAAAGGAGGAATGACACGGGGGTGAAGAAGGGCAAGATTCCGAGGGGGAGGCAGAGGGCAGGAGGGACGAGGGCGGAAAAGGCGGGTGGCTGGAGCTCGGGAAGTGGGAAGTGCCGTTGTATTCCGATGTGGCATTTTAGTTCTTGTTTATTATTGCTTTCGTCTGATTTCAATACACTTGGGTGCATGTGCCACACAGTACACTTAAGTCACATTCAAAGCACATGCTTCCTTCCCCCAAAGGATCCTGGGAATTGTAGCTTGTTCATCGTGGAGCTACATTTCCCAGCACCCTTAAACTTAAGTTCCCTGGCTGGCTTCATACACATCATACATTTAAAGCATGCATCTTTCCCCCCAAAGAACCCTGGAAATTGTAGTGTACCCCTCACTGGGCTACAGTTCCAAACACCCATAAACTAAAGTGCCCAGGGTTCTTTGTGGGGAATGTGCTTTAAATGTGTGGCATGTGTGCAACCTGGTTGCAAATGCAACATACATTTAAATTACATTTCCCCCCTTCAAGTTCCCTAAACCCTTAACAGACAACAGTTCCCAACATTCTTTTGAGGTGAGGAGGAATTGTGTGCTTTAACAATGTAGTGTGTTCACAGCCTCAGTTGTTTTACTGTGTAAGTCGCTTTGAGGTACCTGAATGCAAAAATGTCACTAATAACTGTAAAATAATAAATAAAAATAAAATGAATTGAGTGAAGAAGAGCAAGGATCCGTGAAAGCAGAAGATGGGCAGAAGAACTCTGTTGCTGGAACAAGCCAAAGCCTATCTAATTCAGCTTTTGGTCCTGACTGAGGCCAACCAGATGGATGTCCTCATGGAAAGCCCACAGGGAGGAGGTGACTACAGTGCTCCCTAGCAGCTCATATTCAGACGCCGACTGCCTCCAACAGCGGAGGGAAGACATAGGCATCATGGCTAGTAGCTGTTGGTAGCCTCTTAAAACCATTATTGTTTGAGTGAGTGTGTGGAATGGCGAGAAGGATGGGACCTGAGTGTTGAATTGAAATGGGATTTGTAAAGTGACAGGATGAATAGGTGGGTTAAGGGAAAGAACGTGAGAGTGAATGATAGGCGAGAGACAGAGGCCGAATGAGAAAGGAGAGTGGTGGTAGAGAATGATCAGCTGGCTGGACTAGTAGAGTTTAATGTTATAGGGAAATGGGGAGGTGTATATTTATGACCAGCAGGCCTTCCAAAGTGCCGTTCTAGGAAGCGATGTAACTTGCCTTCCTAACTCCAAACAGTTTCTTTGAGGGATTTTTCTTTTTGGGTTTTTCAAGACTGAGCTAGAAAGAATCTCAGTTTCCAAGCTGGTGAAGAAGTGTTTGCTGATTTGGAAGACAAACAGACTCAAAATACAAATAAATCAATAAATCTGTATTGTATAGGGGTGGCTTGTGTGAAATGTTTTTTTTCCCCAACCTTGCTTTGGAGGTGGCAGTGTTGTAGGCCACTTCCTAGATCGGGGACAGGAGTAGGTGGATAAGCATTCTAGGCATCTGGTTTCACAGGCTCCAAGAAGTGTAAAGGTGGCACCTAGAACTTCTCAGGCTTGAACTATCATGATTGGTGCTGACTACTGAGGAATAGGAAATCTTTTTTGCAGGTGTAGTCTAATTCATTCTGCCCAGAAATGCACCCTTCTTCTGATATCTTCTGTGCCTCAGGTTCCATTTCTGGGCTGTTGTCCAGGATCTCCTGGTTTAGAATGCCTTTGTCTGGAGGGTTGGCTAGGCACGTCTCCCAGAAGAATTAAGAACTGATTTTAAAAAGGCTTTTACACTCTTGGAGATTAACTCTGTAAAAAAAAAACCCAAAAACTTTTCTGTAATAAGAGTCTCTCTCAAAATGTGATTTGAAACTTGAGAGTTTAGAAGCCAGCTGTATTTTCCCTGTCAACTGTGTATTTGAAAACTGCATCACCAGAAACAGTAGATTCAAATTCTTTGTACTCATTCAAATCCTAACAGATGTTGGTTAGATTGGACAAATAGCTGAAGAGGAAACTGAGCTGCTGTAGCCAATAATGTGGGATTTAAGAGGTTTGGTGATGCATCTTACTCTAAACACCCATGACATGTCATAGAAAATAATCCAACTCTGGGATCATTTCTTGAGGTTAATTCTTGCACTGAACAAGTGGTGTGTGCCTTTCATTCCCACACACTGCTCCAGTAATGTTTGCAGCTGAAGCCTACATTTCAAGAAAGTTCCAGGAATCAGTGAAGCATTGCTGATTTTTCTACAATGTCTTATAACAAGCTTGTAAAGCTTGTGTAACCTGGGTAGCCAATTCAAAATTTGTGGTCACCAGAACATGCCCTTGCTACAAAGGGCCTGCTGCACCACTCGAACATAGTGTAAGATGAAGGACAAAGATGCAAGGGTGTGATATCTTTCCCTGTCTCTGCACCTGCATTATCTTCCTCCAGCTCAGAGCCAGAAAGGTAAGACAGAGGTTTGTTTTGGCTCTCTGTTCACACCCAGCAAGTGCAGAACTAAAGCAAGCTGTAGGTTTCTAACCATGTTTGGGACAGCGGAGGGAGTAGTTATTTCTACCCCACTGCAGCTCTAATGTCAGAAGAAGGCCTCAGACTTGACTCACTCGCAACAGCACGTCTGACTCCTTGCCCTGATGAAAGAAGCAAGCACATCCCAGATGCAGGGGCAGGGGAACCTTTGTTCCTCCAGATGTTGCTGCACTCCCATCAACCCTAGCAAGCATGCACAATGGACAATAATAATTGGAGTTGTACTTCAGCAACCTCGTGGGGGGGGGGTAAGGTTCTTCACACTTTTGTTAGAGCATGTACACAGTTTAAAAAAAATAAATCCTCAGAAACCACGTTGTCCTGTTCTAGCTGTTTGATTCCAGTCACTGTGCTATCCATCTGACCTTGGACTTTGTATTTGCCAGATCGAGAGTATTTTCATGAGAAGAAGGCACAAAATAAAAATCAACATGAGGGCAACTTTCCTCCTTTTACTGTGTACCTGCCCATGTCCCTGAGGTTCTTAAAGGTGGTATTCCTATTAACTAAACAGTCCATTTTTTCTTTCTTGACAGTGTACAGAAATCATCAGTCTGCTGCCAGGAGTTGGAGCTTGCTTAGGCTTAGGTGTTCGGGAGCAGGGCTGAGCACACAAACAACGGAGAATTACAGATGATATAGATTGCAAATTTTACACAGGATAAGAGCTATCTCTTCATTTGTAAACTTTTGAAGTCATCCATAGTTAAGGTAAGCTTTTTGGTCTATTTTTAGCTTGTTAATTAATGCTTGTTTATCTTCCAGCAGTTTATTTATTTTGTGGACACTAATTAGCTGGCAGATAGAGAATCCAAATAGTTCTTCTAGTTTCATGAATAGTTAAAAGAAGGAGCTATTGCTGACCTAGTGCCCTAATTTAAGAACTATTATACAGTGTGTGGACTTCATTAATGTTCCTTGCTCAAGACAGTTCTCCACTTCCCAAAACCTCTATGTCGTATGAGAGGTTTATCTTATCCCTGACCCCCTTATCTCAAAAGGGAGTTTTGTCAATATGCCTTGGTTGCCTTTAATCATGGCATAATGATCTCTGCGGACAGGAGTGTCAGCAGCTGATAACTAGTCTCCCATCATTCCTCCTTAGAAGTCCAGTTCAGTAAGGCTTTTGACAGTTCCCCATTATATTCTTGCAAAGTAGGTGGTAAAATGTAGACTGGATGAGGTAACTGTTGACTGGTTCACTGACCGAACCCAAAAAGTGCTCACTAATCATCATCCTGGAAAAAAGTGACAAGTGGGGTACCACAGGGTTCTCTCCTGGTTCCGTTGTTATTCAATGTCTTTAAAAATTACTTGGATGAAGGAATTGATGGGGATGCTCATTAAATTGGCAGATTACACCAAATAGGACAGGTAGCTAATGGATTCAAGATTATCGTAACAGATTGGAGAACTGGACCCAAACTAACTAAATGAATTTCAATATGGGCAAATGCAGGGTTCTGCACTTAGGCAGGAAGAACCAGATTCACAAATATAAGATCGGAGACACTTGTGAAAAGGACCTAGGGGTCTTAGTGGACCACAAGCTTAACATAAGTCAACAGTGTGATGCAGCAACAAGAAAGCTAATGCAATTCTAGCCTGCATCAACAGAAGTATAGTGTCCAGACCAAGGGAAGTAACAACACCACTCTATTCTACCTTAGTCAGACCATAGCCAATATATTGACAAGCTGGAACATGCGCAGAGGAAGGCAACCAAGATGATCGAGGGTCTGGAAATAAAGACTTCACGGGAACAGTTGGAAGGAGCTGGGTATATTTAGCTTGGAAAAGAGGAAACTAAGAGGAGATGTGATAGCCATATTCAAATATCCCAAGGCCGTCACATGGAAGATGGAGCAAGCTTGTTTTAGGTCTGGAGGGTAGGACTCAAATCAATGGCTTCCAGTTACAAGAAAGGAGATTCCAACTAAACATCAGGAATAACTTTCTGACTGTAGGAACTGTTCAACAGTGGAACAGAGACTCTTGGGAGGTTGTGGACTCTCCTTCCTTGGAAATTTTTAAGCATAGGTTAGATGGCCATCTGTCATGGATGCTAGATGCTTTAGTTAGGGTTGCCATATTCCCAATGGTGAAAATCTGGACAGTTGTTGAGTTGTTGTTTTTTCTTTGGATCAAAGTTGCTGAGCTTATTTTGGGAACATCTCTCTTTTGGGGGGCTTTTCTTAGATTTTTAAGATTTTTTTAAAAAAAATAACCCAACTTGCCATACTTTCAGGTTTTCCCAGACATTTTGCTGATTCAGCAAAGAATCGCCCAAACACCATTTTCTGAACAATTCCTGGACATATGGCAGCCCTACTTTAGTTGAGATTCTTGCATTGCAAGGGGTTGGACTAGATGACCCTTGAGGTCCCTTCCAACTGTGCATTTCTATGATTCTATGAAATACTCTGGTCCCAGACCATGTACAGCTTCATAGAGGATAAACCATGGTAACTAGCCTAGGTGCTTCTGCTTTTTGCTTCTTAAACATTTTAATTTTCTTGCAGTGGCATCCAAAGCAGGCCTGTTTTTGATAAGAAGGGACAGTCTCATTTGTGCTGACTTGTCTGCTTACCCCAGAATAGACTTCATGTTTGTTGGATTGGGTGGTGTTAATTAAAGTTAAACTTTATTAAACTCAGAGTAGAGCTATTTGAAATTAATGGACCTAATTTCATTAATTTCAATGGGTCTGTTCTGAATAAAACTTAGGTGAATGTCCTCCCCCCTTGGTTTTTTCTTTCTTTTCTTTCTTTCTAGAATCTCAGGATCTATCAACCAGAGTCAGATGCAAAAGATACACAAGATTTAAAGGGCATGTGTCTAAGTGCATTTTGAGACTAGGGATTTCTTCTCAGTACAAAACAAAAAACACCTTGTCGATCGGCTGCAAGTCACTCAGAGATCTACCAGTAGATTCCAACCCACCTTCTGACCGCCCCATGTCTGTTCTGTAGTTACTCTACGTGGCAGTAGGGTGGGAGAAAGCCTTGAGAGTACACAGTGATAATGCGAAAAGGCTTTCCTTGACTCCACAGGAATGGTTCTCTTCTCATTGTAAAATCTTGCCAGCTCTCCTCAGAGTGGGTGTTACTTGAACATAGGGTCCACAACTAGAAAACAGTTGTAAAACCCACAAGCGACCCATACAGAGAGTCACTTACAAATGTGCATCACATGCCTATATTCATGTGCCTTAAAGTTAATCTCTTCTTGTCCTTTGTCAATGTCATTTACCCATGCCTGTATGGAGGCTTCCAAACAGAAAACTATTTTTTTCTTAATCTAGAGTAGTCTGTGGAGTTATTTGGCGGGGCATTTAGGTTTGGGTCATGTGACTTTCTAGGCTAGCGGTGCTTAATCACAGGTCATACAGAATCTTTAATTGCTAGAAATAGTGGTACATTGAGGAAGCAGGCTGGCTTGGTTTTGGTTAGTTGCACCCCCCTCTTTTTGCTTCTGTTGCCCTCTCCCCAAATATATCTATTAGAATGAGCTCAAGTCTCAAACCTCCCTGGGGGTGATGGCTTGGAAGAAGAGAGACTGTGAAGCTGAAGCAGCTTTGGAGAGTTAATAATTACCCTCCAGGTATACACAGTGGGTCTGGATGCTGCATGTCAGTGCCATTGAAAGCTGCTGTGTGGAAACTTTGATCTGCTGAGGGATTGTTGGCAAGGGCGGAAAGCTGGTCTCCTGCCAGCTGTGAAATGGGGAAGCAGATGGGGAGAAAGGAAGCCTCCAACCCTTGTTGGCCTATTCAGCATTTATTGAAAAGCATTACATGTTTAAGAAAGCCAGGAAGCTAGATTATTGGAACTTGCAAACCCTTATTGTTCTGACACCAAACAGGAGTTCACTCTTTCTCTGTGCTGATTGGCAGCAGGCTCTCCCAAGACCTCAGGTAGTGCTCTGTCCCAGCTACCTGACATCCCTCTTAACCTGGGAATTCCTGCATGCGAAAAACCAGCTCTTACATTGAACTATGAGTCCTCTGGGCACCACATAGCTTGGATTGCTAGTGGGAAAGGCGAGCTGCATTTCCTACTGGCTGGACCATATATGCAAATCTTTATCTTTGACCACTGCAATATCTTTCTTATGACCAAATGCACGGCATGTTGTCACAGCATGGCCTAGCTACCACTATATCTTCCCTCCCCGCACAGCCCTCCTCCAATCAGCTGCTCACCTGACAATTAGATAGAGGGTAATATTCAAAGGCGATAACATTTGAATTCAAGGAAGGCTTCTGAAGAAGGAGCAGTCTTGAGAGGCTTCTTTAGCAAGGCAGCAAAAATATACCACCAGCTTGACACCATCCATTGCAGAAACAATTTTTTCTTGCTTTGGTTACATTTCCCCCCCTCCCATCCCAGAGCTCCATACCCCCAACTTTAATGTGTATTTTGGCAGATTGAATAATCTGCCAAAATACAGAGTCTGCCTGTCTGCTGTTCTCTCTAGGGGGTGAGAAGGACCTTCCTAACACAAACCGAACTGCTCATTGTTCCATTTGGCTGAGGTCCTTCCTGGTTTTGAAACCTGATGATCCCTACAATTGCTATGTGCTATACTAAAATAAAGAATGGGTTTACATACATTTGGCTGTGTTTAATGTTGAGTCTTTACAGCACAGGAAAGGGTCATAGCTGAGTGGGAAAGCATTGGTTTTGCATGCAGAAAATCCCAGGTTCAATCTCTAGCAGCACCTCCAAGTTAAGGTTAGGAGAGAGCTCTGCCTAAACCCTTGGAGATCCACTGCCAGTCAGGGTAGACAGTATTGAGTTAGATGGACCAATGGTCTGGTTCAATCCTATGTTCTTGCTGTACAAAGTGTATAAGATGTTGTGGGGGTACTTTGCCATTCAACTCTGAATAGAACTTCATGCCTCATTTCTCCCACCTTGCCCCATTTGTCCTCCTTATGTTTCTGACTTTTCTGTAAACTGTCAGAACACACTATCTTCCGTTATGTGGTCCTCCATCCAGATTTCACTGGCAATAGTGATGGTTCATAGGAGGTACCTACTATTCACTGCTCCTGGCTGTTGGCCCCCACAGATACCAGCAAGCAATGGACTTGCGTCAAAGGCTCTAATCTGCCAGCCCTCTGGCCTTATCATGCCAAGACAAAGTTGGGTGCTGTTCTAGAGTTCAAAGTTGCACAACAGTTGCCTGTAGCCAAAGGGTTGCAGTGCTTCTTTGGAGGATGGGGGGCACGGGACCAAAACCATTGCTCCTGTTTTCTTTTGATGCTGCAGTGACTTTTGGCAGAACCCCACTGTAAGCAGGTTTACCATCTTTTTTGGGGTCAGGCACGGGCAATGGACTTGAGGGTGGAGCTTGCCAATTGCCTGTTGCAATAGCTGTAAATAATAGTGGCAGCAATTCCTTTACAATGACATTCTAATTTAAAGGCTTAGTCAGAGGAGAGGTACAGAGGTATTGTTTCCCCTAGTACGGTAAGTCTTACATTGTGCAAGGGCACAATGTCCATTCTCTTGTCACCTCATGAACAACAGTATTGAGTTTGCAAACTATCTGCGGGGTTTCAGGAAATAAAATTGCTCCTTCAGCAGGAGCCAGTTTCCCTGGTGCTTTTCTTCCTGTAACCTAGATTCTTGCCTTGATATGGTCATTAGTGTACCAGCCTGTTCCTCTTTAAGTTCTCCCAGGAAATAATAGTGATGATCTGC